CCCCGCGTTCAAAACCTGTGAGAGCAACTTCCCGCCCGAAAAAAAAGGCAACAGGTGGGGGCAAGGACTTCTGAGCAGCCCCCCCGAGAAAGTCCAGGCACGTCCTTTGAGTTCTTTCATCCTAAAGTGTGGGGAGTCCTACTGTGTGCTAGAGACAAGGCTGCAGCCCTTCCTTTACGATCTCAACAGGGTGACAGCTCTGTAAACCACCAGCTTCCGAGCGTTTGAAAACGTATCTTTAAAAAGAAAAATATATCTTTAAAATATATCTTTAATCTCTTCCCGGGGGGACGGGAAAAGATTGAAGAGCTGATACGTGTCTGTGCAAAGCCCAGGGCCGACCACAGTGCAGTGGAGGCCTGGGCGGGGCGGGAGCAGGGCGGAGGGGTCCTGGGGAGAAGGGGGAACATCTGCAACACTTCCAACAATAATAAATTGAAAAAATAAAAAAGACTAGACACTGTAATATAAACTAATCCATTGGTGTTTCCGGGTAAGTCCAATACCCCACATCTCATGGGCGGATAAACTGATATAATGATGGATTTCCTTTCATTTCACGTCCCTCAAATACCTTACAAACGAGGGAGACAGAGACAGAGAGAGAAAGTGTAAAATATCCTCAGGGATAGAAAATGGGACGCCCCCCCCAGTTCACACCCCGGCATCCGAGCTGACCTCGAATTCAGCACCGTTGGGAGCCGACCCTGCGGAACACGCTATCTGTAGAAATGTCCATCCTGCAACGGTTATAACACCCAGAGCCCAGACGAGTGCACGTACCGGAGCTGTGGAATAATACGAAGGCCCTTTATTATTCTTGGGGCCAGCAGAGGCCTCTGGCGTAACTGCCCATCCCCAGGACGAACCTGGACTATCGCCCGACGTATATCTAGACAATGTTGAAGGTAAAAAGGACATTTGTGAAAAGAAGTTTTCTTCGGTGGTGAATCGAGAGTGACTCGCTTTGTCGCTTTAGAAGCGGGCAAACAGGCCGCAAGTCCCCGCTGGACACGGGGGCCCTCGCGCTGTGCAGACTGCACGCAGCGGCAGAGGGCAAGAGCCTTCGCGTCACCGTGCTGCTCCCTCTCGGCGCTGAAGGGCTTTGCGAGGCACCGGGCTCCGAGCTCCCGCGCCCTCGGAAGGCGCGGGCGTGGGGGTGAGCGTGGCTCACTGGGGAGTGGGTGTGACCGAGGGGCCCAAGTTCGGATCAGACGGGCGGTGACCAGACATGACGCCTGCTTGGGAGCCCTCCCAAGGCGGGGACAGCGTCTTCACGGGGGGTTGGGGGCTCCCGACTCTACCCAGAGTCTGCTGCCCGCTTTTTAGAAGACGACGAAGATGCCTCTGGATTTTAAAATGCTGATTTTCATTAGAAGACAGAGGCCCCAAGCGTGGACGTGGGCACCTTTGAAATTGTGCTGTACAGCCCGGCCGGGCGCAGCTCAGCGGCTGAGCGTCGACCTGGGATCCAGGCGATCGGGGTTCGGTTCCCGGTCAGGGCACATGCCCGGGTTGCGGGCCCGATCAATGGATCAATGACTCTCTCATCATTGATGTTTCTGTCTCTCTCTCTCCTGTCCTCTCTCTGAAGTCAATAAAGATTTATTTAAAAAAGAAGAAAGAAATTGTGCTGAACAAGCTCCAAGCACCTACGTTACACCAAGAGAGATTGACCGGCGGGGAGCGGAAACTAGAGCCGTGAGTATCGACTGTGTAGGTTCATTTCTGCCTCACTTTGTACAACAGCGTCCAGAAAAAAGGAATTAATTAGCAACCATCGACCCCTGGATTGACTGTGCCCTGGTGGTGGGGCGAGGGCGGGGTCCTGACGCTGAACTTCTGGGGAAAAAATATGCAAAGAGCAGGCATGAGATCTCTCCAAAAACCTAACCAGACAACAGTTCTACGTATCTTGCGTTTTCTTAAAAAGGCGTCGCTCACATCAATCCGAGGGATCCTTCTGTTTGTGTAGAACATTCCGCAGGAGGCACGCAGGTGAGGAGGGGACACCCGCCTCCCTGTGGAGCCCTGGCCCGGGGCGGACGCCTGCGTCTCTGCACACGGATGTCGTGCAAGAGGGGAGGCGTCAGAGGACGCTGGGTATGGCCGTAAGATGCAAACGCCCGTTTCCTTAAAAACAAGGGACAGAGGAGTGCAAGACGCTGTTGTAAAGAAAGGTCCCCTGGCTAAACGCTGACATCGGGTGACACGGGAATTTCTCCATGGGGAGAAACACGGGGACTCGTTAGGACGGGTATTCCACGCCCCTTGGGGGCACACATGGTCAGAGGTCATAGGCAGTTCAATGAGCCCCCACTGACCTGACGGGCCGCAGGGGACCTCCAGGCGGACAGGCACCAGGAGTGTAACTGCGCAGGTCAGCCATGTGTGGGCAAGGGCACCCCATGTGGGTGAGGACACCTGCGTGGGCCAGGGCCCGCGTCTGGCGAGGAGCTCGTGTGTGGGCCAGGGCCCCGTGCGGGTGAGGGCCCTGGAGTTCCCACTTCTGAAAGGACTTGGAGGGAAGCAGCTGCCGTCTCCCGGGAACCACCGCTCCTTGTTACCTAAGGGCCGGGGCTCCTCGCACACGGGCTCCTCCAGAGGCCTGGCTCAGGAGCCCGGGCACCGGGCACGGGTGAGCTCTCCCTGTCTGGACTCAGAGGAAAGGAACGTGCCACTCAAGTCCTCTTCTGTCGGGAGCGGTCTGAACGCAGAGCCGAGCTGCCCGCTACGTGATCTACAGGAACACAGCGGGCCCGCTTCCCAACCGCGCGTCCACTGCTCTTCCAGAGCGGGTGCGCCAAGGGGGGCTCCTGAAAGCGCCGGATCCGCCCTGGGAGCCCTGCTGTGCGCAGGCCGGATGCCTCCCCCGGAGGTGGCGGCCACTGAGACACGGCCAGCAGCCGGCCTCCGCCAGGGCTCCAGTGACACTGTCTTTACAAAGCCGTCTCTCTTCAAGGAATGTTTTGCAAAGAAACAGCTTTTGTAATTAGGGAGTAAACCAAAACAATACACTAGTGTCCTGTGTTTGCCTGCTAATAAATTGAGAAAACTCACAAAATGGATTGTTGACAATGTTTTTTTTTTTTTTTTTTTTTTTTTTTTAACCAAAATAGAAGTAGCTTTAGGTTCCCCTGGTACAGTTCAGAAAACTGCTCTCCGTACAATTAGGAATTAAACAAACCCCTTTCAGAGACTGTCCTGAGATGACATTTAATGCTAAAAACAAAATAAATAAACTAGCAAGAACAAAATTTTTAAATTCCAATAATTGCAACTTTGGGGATATTTGTTCACCAAAATTAATCAACATTTCTAAAATATTTTAATACAAAATTATAAAAGAAAGTGCATTAAAAGCAGAACCTTTAAACCTCTGGCAAAATTACATCATTCTGAACACTGACCACAGCCAGTACACACCGACACTCGAGGAAACCTCAGATATACAGTAAGTCCAGCATCACAATAGTAAGTCAAATAAGGCTTTTTTTCCCTTAAAAAAATATACAATACACAAAGCAGTTTGAAAAAAAAGTAATATTATTTAACAGTTTTCGACTTAAATATTTTCACATAACAAAAGTTTTTGCATCACCATCAACGTTACTTATATACATCCAAAAGTGAGCAACGAAAAAAATCAAAAGATGCCCTTTCAAAAAAATAAGAGTGAAATGTCTTTTTTCTGGAAACTGAAACGAGTTCCTCTCTTAATGTACAAAGTCTGTACAACATTTACAGGAAAGCCGCCCTCTTCTGAAACCAGGGAGGCGATGAGAGAACATAAAGGCAGTTATTTCTCAGGAGAACAGGAGCAGTCAGCTCTGCTACAACGAGGAGGGTCCATTTGTTAATAAAATGAACACAATACTGGTCTGAAGTGCTCAGGGGAGGGACGAGCGGGCACTCTCGCTGTAGCGGGACGAGTGCTTATATTTACAAAATATACTGTTCAGCCACACAGAGGCCCATTATCTGCATATGTACATGTGCACTTATATATAGAACATATAAATAACTTCGAGGGGAAATTCACGAGTAGAGAACTTTCCATCTTTGGAATGCTGTAGGAAGGGCCCGCCGCCCCGCGGGGGCTTGGTGAGGGATGTGTTGAATGTGGCACCATTGATGAGACAGAATTCCCTGAAATAAAACACACCTGCTGATGCACGAGGAGGAAACCATGGGCTCATCTGGGCTCTTGCCTCCGAGGACACACACCTGACCACCGCGGTAGTGAGGCCGAGGGCCCGGCTCCTCTGTCATGTCCCATCTGCCATGGAGGCTGTGCCTTCTGCAGCCACTGGCCCATGGACCTGCGTGTCGGCTGGCGGAGGGCGGCGTCTCGTGCGGACTGAGTCATCTTCGTCCGTGTGTCGGGTTTATCTGCTCCCCGGGTTTACTACGCCCAGAGGCTGCCTTCTCGTAACTAATGATTAGATATTTTAACGCAGAGAGAACTGGTCCAGCCATCTCTCAAGGTATTAGTTCTATTAACTTATCATAGACTAAAAAGAGTCAGTTTCTACTGCCTTCAAAATGCACAGAGAAGAAGATGGAACAACTCCCTGTGGGGTCTGAGTTTCTCTGGACTATGTGCACCTACCTGACGTTTGTTTTATAAGCTATGCTTCTTAAAACAGAAAGCATGAAGGAAACTCGACCTTTCCATGTTAACCTGTCTTTGTAATACAAAGAAATCACACTACAATGATAGTAAAATCCAGTTAACGTGTTTAACTAGACACACTGGCCACGGAGCAGAGGGAGAACTGCCTGTCGTACCTGAGTTCAGTGATTTGTGGACGGATGAGACATGTGGTTACGTTTCCCCCGCTTTTCCTAAGTCTCTGAAAGACAATGATTCTTTAATTTTATAGCTAAAAACCTACTGTGGTAACATGTTTAACACTTGAAGCCTCAGAATAGGAATTCCAAGAGCATCCTCTGCACAGCATGGAGCTTCGGCAACACTTGAGGGGCTGTGGCTGCATCAGAAGACGTTGGCCAGGGCCTGCCACTCGCCAGCGGCCTCAGGTACCACCTCCTCCAGGTGCAGCGTCTGGCTCAGCTCCTCGGGGCCCTGCTCCTGGGGGCCGGTGGGCTCCTGCAAGGCTCCTGCGGGCAGACAGAGCACAGGCAGTCAGACGCCTGCAGCACAAAGTCACCCACCATGAACGACGAAGGCTGGGCCAGAGACCAGAGCTGTCTGCAGGGAGGTGCATCCACCAATGAGAAGAGCCACCTGAGCCACGGTGTGAATGACTCAGGAGCAACAACGGGCTGGGAGCACAGCGCCCTCACGCCCACGCCCACGCCCACGCGGCTTCTCTTCCCGAGGATCAGTGAGGAAGGACAGACAGCGACACTCACAACAGGCCTCTCCCGACAGGAAACCGAGCAGGGACAGCGTGCGGCATTCAGGTTAACCTTCCCTCTCTCGAAGCCCATGGCGGCGTCTCTTCCTCCGGCTGCCGTCACCAGGCAGCCCATCTTCTTCACACACCAGCCACACCCTCTGAGCACCTGACTGAGCCTGAGGCCCACCTGCTAGACCCTGAGGGCTCTGCTCACGTCCCGTTCAGTCCTGTGCCCACTGGGCCCTGCAGCCTGCCCAGCCACTGACCCTCACCCCTCTCCTCACAAAGGTGGGTGCAGGCTCAGGTCTGTGGGAGACAGCAGCGGGCCATGGCTGCGACACCCCCCACGTTAGCACCTCACCTGGAGACAGGCCTGTGGGCGGGACTTCCTGACCCTGCTGTGAGCACCAGGCACACAGGCAGCACCGGGCACAGAGCGGCCCGGCTCGGACCCAGCATGTGGCGCCCTGCACCTGGCACATGGCCTTGCACTGCACTCTGGGAGCGGGGTTTCCCGTCCCCACGGACAGGAAGCAGCACTGACCACGAAGGGACACAGGGCGCCAACCACGCGGGGAAATGGGGCGCCAACTGCCCCGGGACACGGGCCTGGCCCTCTCTGCGGAAGGTGCGCTGTGCCGCCACAGGCCTCACCAGTGTAGCTGTGTGCCCGCTTCATGTGGAGCTTCATGTTGCTCTTCTGGGTGAAGCCCATGACACAGTAGTCGCACTTGTAGGGCCGCTCGCCTGTGTGCTTCTTCATGTGCACCTGCAGGGCGCTCTTCTGGTTGAAGGCCTTCTCGCACAGCGTGCAGTGGAAGGGCCGCTCCCCTGCGTGCAGAGCAGCCACATCAGTGCCCAGTGGCTGCCCACGGGGAGCACAGACACACAGGAGATGGGCACATGTAGGAGATGGGTACACGCAGGATGGGCACAAGCAGGACAGGGGCACACACAGGACATGGGCACACACAGGGAAATGACTGGCAGATGCAGCAGGTTCACAAGGGTCACTATGATGTCCCCACTGCTCCCAGCCAGCAAGTCCCTCCCTGGTGACACATGAGAAACTGATCAGAGACTCTGAACAGTCCTCAAAGCTACAGAGAGGGGCAGGGGGCTTAAGCAGTGTTTCTAATCCACTGGGCAGGAAAGCACAAAGACCTTCAGGACACGAGTCTGTCCAACCACCTGATTAAAAGGAGGATTTAGGCAATATTCTTAAAGACATTTAACTGCTTTCAAGTTATTTTAGATACTGGAAACTGGAAGGGAAAGTCACCCAGAGTGACTTCTGCTGGGCACCTGCACGTGGACTAAGACGGGGGACAGGGCCCAGTCCCCACCCTCAGCGGAGGACGCCCAGGAGAGGGGAGACCTGACAGGCAAAGGCCGCGGGCAGGCCCGGGACAGACATGCAGGACAGGTTTCTGTGTGAGCAGGACAGAGGGCAAGGCAGAGAGACGGAGTTTGCTCCCTTGTCTCATGTTTTCCTGAGGAAAGACTGAGCAGACTTAGTGGCCATAGGAAAAGCCAGTAGAGAAGTGTGAGGACAGAGACCAGGATGAAGCCCTGCGGGACCGAGAGGCAGCCTGGCCTGAGCTCTGCTCCCTGAGCTCACGGTGGGAGCAGCAAAACCTTTCACTCAAAGGCTAGTTACCATGATAAAATTATAGAAGTTCAGACATAACAGGTGGCCCCTGGGACATCGATGCGTGTCGTGGAGAGTGTCCCACATTGAGGCCTATTTCCTCGCTGTCCACATGAAGCATCCCTGTGCCACGTTTGGCCCCTCCTCACCTGTGTGGATGCGGCTGTGTCGCTCCAGCTGGCTGGGTTTGGCGAAGGCCTTCTCACAGGTGTCGCATTTGAACACTCTGGGCTTCTGTGAGCTTAGAGAAGGGCCCGCCTGGTGTGTCTGCATGTGCTCCTGTCAAAGAGGACACAGGAATGAGGAATGTCCACGGGCACAGGACCTGCGGACACTCCTGCCCCACCTGCGGAAACTCAGGTCTTGTCCAATTATCTGTGGCTACAAACAATGCCACCACGAATGACTCTGGGCCTGTGCTGATTCCCAAGCAGATGCAGACAGCATGGGTTGGGGCCTCCTGTTCCCCTACAAAAGGTGAACCAAGCACAGTCTCACCAGCTATTAGGAGACTTCCAGCCTCCCCACAGCCTGCCACAGGTGCTGGCCGTGTTTTCAGCACTGGTCACTCTGAGGCGTGACAAACAGTCCCTCAGTGCTCTTCTCACCTGCATTCGGTGCTGTGACTTAGGCATAAACATGCAATTGGCTGGTCGTGCAGTCAACGGGCCTCTTAGGACCCTAACACCCTGTTAAAACACCCTGACCTCCTTGGCCTTTCCCTCAAAAAAATGGAACAAGTTGTCACTGAAACTTCTAGTAACATCTGGGACTCAAATGCGGTGCCCTTCACTGACCGGAGCGGGGACAGGCATGCAGGGGTGGGTTGGAGGTCTGCGGGTGCATACCTTGAGGTGGGTGGCCCGCTTGAAGGCCTTGCTGCACACGGGGCACACGTGGATGCGCTCGCGGCCATGCGCATCCTTGCTGTGGTGCAGCAGCAGAGCGGACGACGCAAAGCTTCGGCCACATTCCACGCACGGATGCTGCCGGCCCTCCTTCTCGGGCTGGCTGCCCGGGGCCAGGTGCGCGGAGACGTCGGTTACCTGAGGCGGATCAGAGATTGGGACTTGACTCAAGGGTGCTGTTGGCAAACTGACAAAGGACAAGACACACACACTCCACAGGCACCAGCCACCGCGTCCAGTGTGCCCTCTCTTCGTGGACATGGTTAGCGGGGCCTCGGCACCATAGACCAGGACAGCACCCACACTCGGTAATGCCTGAGGGCCTGACCGGGTAGGTTCACAGGACAGAAGGCGTCCCCTCAGGGTGATCGCCCAGTTGCCCGTCGGCTCCCACAGGGCTGCCTGGCCCACTCAGGGCTGCCTCCCCACCTGAGAAACATAGCTAATCACAGTACCTGATCTGCCTGTCAGGGGCCGGTGACAGTTACAGGAGGGACAGTCCCTGGCACACTGCAGGAACCAGTGACTGCTGTTAGTGGGAGGTTCAGCTTTGACAGGCAGAAGTGAAGGTGCTAAGAAGTGCTACTGCTCTGGCTGGAGACCTCTTTTAGCAAAATGCCCCACAAATCACTTTTAGCTTCTGACTGGATTAGAGGGTTTCCCCCCAACTCTGGATCACACTTGTTAGCAGGTTTTCTGATCATTCTAACAGGATGCCATCAACACCCTACAAATAAATAACAGGGCAAGAGGCCTTCCGTGCTCAGCTCTGATACACAGGAGTTCAGTTTCGCAGATGGAAATTTATATGATGATTTAGTGAAAGAAAACTATAAACAATTCTAAAGAAAACTGGTGGAATCTGTCAATGTTTTAACTATTTCCAACTTATCAGTGTCTACAAGGCGCTCTAACGGTCAGCACACTAACAGAGAGAAAGGAAGGAGACAACAAAGGTCAGGAGGGCCAAGATAAGGGCAACGTGTGTGTGTGTGTAACACAAGAAACAACAAAACACACGTGTGCTCAGGACACTGAATATAACATATTTCTTATGAGTCAAACGTTTGAGAGCCACTGGGGCGAGCAGTGCTCCAGCTGCTCTGACTGCAGATCAGACCATGGTCACGCGTGGTGCACGCGTGCATGCTGCGGTGACAGAGCCAGGGTGTGGGGCTCATGCTCCCCACCAGCACAGCACCCAGCATCACCAGCAGTCACTGTGAGAGGGGGGCATTCCCTGTGCCGTGACAGCCACCATGTCTCCGAATCCTGGGTGCCACTAGTGCACTGCGGAAGTGGGTGTAGTCCGGGGGAAGCTGAGACCATGTGCAGCCATCTTACGAATGGAGATTCAGAAAGAAGAAATTCCCTGTGCTGGTCATGTCCACCTGCTTTAGGGAAAAGTTCTGGCTCCACTAAAAACCAGAGTCATTATCTTGAAACCTATTTGCTGAAACTGCTAAGGCACAAAGGTAATGTTTCCTACCCTCAGAAGCTGTCACTGCTCTTATAGCTGGAAGGCTTTCAGGAAAGAGTGTTCAGACTCATCTATGTTTAGAACCATCATTTGCTGAATGTGCTTACCCCCTAAAACATGCATTTTAAGAAACAAGACTAGTCAGCCCTGGCCGGTGTTGCTCAGTGGTTAGAGCACCAGCCCTGGCACTGAAGGGTCTGGGGTTTGATTCCAGTCAAGGGATGTACCTGGGTTGCAGGTTTGCTCCCCACCCCCGTCAGGCACATGCAGGAGGCAACCGGTGGATGTGTGTCTCTCACATCGATGCTTCTCGCTCTCTCTCTCTCTCTGAAAAGCACTGGAAAAAATATCCTCAGGCGAGGATTAACCAAAAAAATGAAAAATAAATGAGAAAGAAGCAAGACTAGTCAGATGACAAACAGGTCAAGCACACGCACAGGTATCATACATGGAAGTACAAAACCTTTAGGAAATCAGCGAAGGTATTTCGAGAAAACCTATAAAAAAAACTAAATGCGAGTAAACGGCCATGCGAGGTCTGACCAGCAGGCACAGAAGGTGTTAACAGACTCAGATCCAGGTTCACACTTACTGGCTGCTGCGCCTCACTGTGTGGTGCCTGCATCACTGAAGGAACAGTATCTAGTATCAGCCCTTCAACACGCTGTCCCAGGACCCCCCACAGCTCACACCACCCACACTTGGGGTTTGCTGGGGACCCACCTCCTCACTCCCCATGGCCACCCATCTCCATCTCTTCTGAATTCCCCAGGGCCCCCCATCTCCATCTGTCCTGAGACTGTGCATTTAAAAAGCATGAATGGTTCTGAGTGGCAGTGTGCCCTGTACCTGGTAGGTGATCTCCTCACAAGCAGCGGCCCCCGGCTGTGGAGTGTGGCTCACCAGGATGACCTGTGGGGAGCCTGCTCCTCCGTGGCCAGAGAGAGAGGGGTCAGTGAGCAAGGCTGGGAACTGCTGACCCTGGCAAACAAAGACGATCACTATTTCAGACATTGTAACAGTATCAAGTCCAGTAGTAATTTAACAGACTGGTTATGGTGCAGTCACTTTGGAAAACAAGTTGGCAGGTTCTCAGAAGGTAACCACAGAATCACCATACAACTCAGCAATTCCACTTGGAGGCTTCTGCCCCCCCCAAATGAAAACCTACACCCGCTTGAAACCTTGAGCGTGAATGCTCACAGCAGCACTATTCACAGGAGAATCAGTTAACACACTTTCCGGATCACCCTGGAATGGGTGCTAGAGCTGCAAGGTGAAGGGATAGGTGCACACCTACCTGAGAAGCGATGTTGAGCGTGACCGTGTCCAGTCCTCCCGAGAGCAAGCCCTGAGTGTCAGCCAGGGTCAGGGTGACGCTGGCCTCGCCTGAAGAGGACATGACCAGGTTCTGAGTAGAAAGGGCTGACGGAGACGCAGGCGCCGCGGAAGAGAGGCTGCCAGTTGCAGTGCCGAGTTCTAAGAGAAAGGACAGGCGAGCAGGTCAGTGGGGAGCGGGAAGCTGGGAGAGAGAGAAGGGCGTTTTCACAAAGGAGCCAATTGTCATCACCAGCTCTCACACGGTCTTAGCTTCTGAAACTGCACCATGAAAATCACAGAATCTTTGATTGCAGCTTTATGGCAGCTTTCTACAGTTCCTAAGTATCTTTGTACATACACACCCCCTGCCTCGTAAGTATAACAAACAGAGCAGTGAGAAGGAAGTCCCTGTCACTGCTACCACCTCTGAAGGAGGCTCCAGCAAGAACTTCAGGACCCGCCCCCACCAGGACCAAAGACCAGCACAGAGGAGCCCCTGACTCCCGAGCAATGCTCAGGCCCAGGCCCCATGGAAAAACTGACTGACTGCTCACACTCACACTGCCACCACCTCGCATCTGCTCATCCTGAAACACAGGCCATCCAGATGAACATCACGCAATCCTTTCAATATGCATTTCTCCTGCGTGACAACTTCATTTTCTTTGGAAAAGATGACAAAACTTTTAAATATTTTCCCTTTTGAGCCAATGAGAAGAGAAGAGAAGATACCGGAACAGAATCGGGCAAAGAAAGGCCTTTCTTCTACAGATCAGAAAGCTGTGCACCTACTGGCACTGCATTGGGTGGGGCACGGGATACCAGTGTCCCGTGGTGATGCCAACATAAACCAAGGCTGTAAGTCTCTACCTGCAATCACTCACACACACATGCACATATGCACACAGGCGCACACTATTCTCAGACCCATCCTCCATGCACCTAACAAACAGGATCTGTCATCCACTGTGGCCCCGCTGTGCTGGGTGCTAGAGATACCGAGACAGCAACTGACCAGAAGTCAAACTGTCATTTCCTCTCCAGGTCACAAAGAGCAGACAAGACTCCTGTGACTGTGTGTGCTTGAGGCTGGGTGAGTGGGGCGCCCAAGTCACTCTCTGTAACTGGGTCCTCCAGACATACCTCCTCACAGATGCACACCCCTCAGATCCACTCTGTGCTGCACAGGCCTGGAACCTTCAAAAGCAGCACAACCTTCAGGAGGCTGGAGGCTCCACGTCCCCGTCAGACCCCCACCGGGCTGGGCCTCTGGACTCGCAGGACAGGAGGAGTAGGGATTTGTGGGGTGGATGCTCGAAGCACTCCAGCTACCAGCACATCAGCCATTGAAATAACTCAATTTTTTTCATCAAAACTATCTTAAAACTGGACTCAGGTAACAACAAAGACGTGATACCAATTTGAGATAAATTCCCTAAAAAGCTGTGCTAAATGTCAAGCCTCTATTAACACTTCCTGCCTCTGCTAGGTCTGTGCATCCCACATGACTGTTTTCTAGGAAAACTGCCCCTGTCAGATCTCGTCATGAGGACTATCAGGGTCTGACTTTGAGGTGGCCTTCAACCCTGTGTTGCACGTCTGAACAAAGCCTGGGCTGTGTCTCCCGTGTGAAATTCCAACCAGCCGCCACACCTGGATTGACTGGTAAGTCCCTAAAGGTGACACACTCCTCTCAGTGTGTCAATTCAGATGCCAACAGCCAGAGAGTCCAGGCGCCAACAAGCCCCAACAAACCTGTTCACAGGATTCAACAACCCGACAACCACAGCACATTCCTCACGTGGACAGAAAGGACTGGCAACGGGACTGTTACATGGGATACTGAAAAGTGGTGTGTGAGATTTATCTTAGAAGAGGCCACTGTAACTCCAGTCCTCACTGTGTGGCCTGAGCCTGGTCTGGAAGTGACTTGGACATTAAGATTAATGCTGCCAGTGAAGAATGCAATCTCCTGACCAACACTATGCAGATGGGATCCACTCCTTAACTGTAAGCAGCACTAATGGAACATGCAAACCTCTGAAGACACGCTTTACACCAAGGGCAGAGTGGTTATCTGGAGTCTCTTTCTGACTCAGGACTGCTCAAAGATGGACACTGAGACCCTCAACTGCGAAGGGCGCCATCACGGTTTATCCAGGAAGATGGACGTAGGAGGCAGACGCTCTACACTGACCCACCAGATGGCTGGAGTTTCATGACTAGAGCTGAGATAGCCTCTGAGTTCCTGGGTCCTCATTCCACCCTCCCCTTCCCTCTGATCAGAACACCTGATTTTGGACTAGGGCATGCCGGAACTCCAGGATCACCAAGCAGCACCGACACCAGTCCACCCACGTGAAAACATGGGCACTCTCCCTCTCTGCCCATAAGTGCGCCGAGGGCTCACCACCTGGGCTGCCCCATGCCCAGTGCAGCAGGCGGGGAGCCTGTGCTCCTAACACCCGGGAGCCTGCTGATCCCTTTCCACTCTGCATGTCTACGCAATCCTCGCCGAGGGGGAAAGAGAATCATCCCACAGCCCAAGGGCAGGATTCTCGACGTGGCCAGAGAACACTTGTCTAGTCCTTAACAACAAAGGCACAAACAAAGATGGCTTTCAGAGAAAAGTCTGCTGTGATTTAAAAGCACCCAATATGCTTCAGATGGCTTACCTACCACCGACCAAATCATAACCTGAAAGTCCTAACTCATAGACCAGAACGTGAAACAAAATTCCCCTTAGTTGAAAAATAAACACTTCTCATTTCAAACGAGGAAGAGAATTACGTTCTGCGACAAGTTCCAGAGCCCTGACTTGAACAAGTGAGCAGACGCGGGGGACAAGACTGAGGCGGCACAGGGAGAGCAAAGTCGCCCCAACGGCACCAATCCCATGACCCACTCGCCGACACCGTTCTACCTCCTGTGTGTCATTTATATGATTACGTGAATTCTTCAGTAACTGTGATCTATTGGTGTCTAGGATCCAAAGTGCAGGGGACCGTGTCTGCCTTGCTCAGCATCACGTCCTCAGGTTCAGCTCGATGCACACACGTAGTTCACACCACAGTCTCTTACTGAATAAATGAATTACTGGATAAGAAAGCATTTCAATGAAGCACAAAAAAAGTCTAGCTGTGGATACAAGTACCTGTAGATAAAGTTTTTTCTCAAGAAATGACCTAGAGAGCCGGGAAATAAGAGGGCGAAGGAACTGACAGTCTCCACGGGATAAAGAAAGCAAGACAGGTAGGGCATCCTAAACCGCCAACGGTTACTCATGAAACTGAGATTTTATGGAGGCTCATTTCCTTCTCATTGTGCTCGTTTATCTTTATTTTTATAAAGTCCATTCCTCAAAACCTGAGAAAGATGCCTTTCAATGTTGTTATCCTACTGTGGCTGGGACAGAAAATCCACGTTGCAGGGCACAGAGGATGAGCCGGGACCTCCCCGCCCAGGTGGGAAGGGAGCACTGTCATGGAGCCACACAGGTGCTCTCCTGCGTAACCACATAATGCGCTCAGCACCTAAATACAACCACCTGCTCTGTTCCTTATGCGGTGGAATTACCGGTTGGCTGATGACTCCAGAGAGAACTCTATCACCACTGACCACTGTGGAACGACCTGCACATGACAGGCAAGGGCCGACACGTCCTGCTAACAGTGTCTCAGCCCTTTCCAGGGCCCTTCAGGTCCCACAATGTCCCCCGAGGCGGAGCCATCAGCTGCGTACCTGAAGAGGTCAGCGCCGCGCTCTGTGTGAGAAGCTGGTCATTGCTGATCGTCAGGGTGGCACCTGCAGACTGGTTACTGACCGTGGCCCCGGACAGCCTTATGGTCCCGTTTAGCTCACTGCTCCCACTAGAACTGTGCTGAATGAGGTCCTGACCTAAGTGGAAATTAACAGTGTGATGCCTGAAGGTAACACGGTGACTGACACGCTGGCAAGTGTGCTGAACGTAGAATACCACGTTTATAGAAAGAAATGGAAAGACCATGAAACACACTCCCCTGAGTGAAAGTAATCGTTCACAGTTTTTAAGCTATATTTTCAATTTCTTCTTAGAAGTTCTGCTACAGTTTTCTGCTCTTTGATAAACAAAAAATACATGAGAAAAACCACTGGCTGAAACTGGCAGTGATGGGGGAACTATCCGTTTTAACTTCTGCTGTCAGACTGGAGCAGCAGCATCATCATCACTAACCCCGATTTCTCGCCTGAATTACCAGCACTGACTGGGCACAGGCTGTATGCAGAGCTGAGTGTGTAGAAGAAACACAAGTGAGACAGACGTAAACTCAGGTGAGAGGACACCCAACGTGGATGACTGACCAGAGATAGTCAGGGTGATCTCCTGCGGGGACCCCGAGGCCGACGTGGTGGGCCCAGCAGCCTGTGCCAGGACCTGGCTGAGACTGGAGTTGTTGATGGTCAGGGTGATCTCGTGGGGGCCGCTGGAGGTGGACACCAGGCCTGTTGAGGGCATCACTTGAGCGAGGTCTTGTGTCCCTGGTCATCATGACAGAACAGAACAAAGCTGGGCTTACAGCACATCCTCCTCCTATTATACTAGAAATACTTCAGTGGAAATGCTGCTTCAAAAAGAGGGAGATCTGAAATACAATCAGTCACCTCTAGTTCCCTCCTCTATAAAGACACACAGCCTTTGACCCAGGAAGCCACTGGGACAAGATTAACCCATGGGTGTGGTAACCTGCATACATATACAGAGTACACATCACGTAGCTCGTAGGACATTTGTTTGGTGAGCTTTGTAAAGAGAAGAAATGGCATCAGTGTCCTAAACTCAAACTGGTGATGCTCAGAAGCTGGTCCTGCACCATCCACGACCACAGGAGTGGCCCTTACCGCTGCTGCTGGTGGTCAGCACGGGGTCCTGCTCTGCCATCGGGCTGATGGTCAGGTTGGCAGAGGTCACCGTGGGCTGCAAGGACAGGCCCGAGATGGGTTGGATGACCACACTGGCGGGGACGGTGCTGTCTGCTGCCTGAAGGGAGCTGCTGTGTGGGGCCGAGCCCGGCTCCCCTGCCAGCGGCTGAGTGAGCAGGCTGGTGGGCTGTAAGCTCTGCTGCAAGACGCTGGGGTCGATCTGAAAAGCAGCACAGACACCGTCATGAGGTTTCTCACTGGGTGACTCAGGCCACACAGAAGCCACAACAGGCACCTACCTGCAGCGTGATGTTGTTAATGCCAGAGGTGTCGATGCCAGAAATTTGCACATTAGGCCCAACCAAGTTAGCTGCCAGCTGTAACTGGATGCCCTCCAGGGCGGCCAGGCTCCCGTCCGTCAGACTCACTGTCCAGTCGCCACCCCCTGTATGGAAAGGAGCAGGAGGGACAGGCATCAGAAGCAGCTCTTCGAGAGGAAGCCCGTTTTTCATGTGTATCAGTGTGACCCAGTGAATGAATACTAACCAACACCCATTCCACCCCACAGGCACACATCATCTCACTCACAGTCACCACCCCCCCACTGAGTTAGGTAATTTCATCACAGCTCAGAAAACCAGGCTCAGGGAGAGGGCTCTGATGAGCAAGACAAAACTAACAACTACACTTCCCTGGGCTCTGATCGACCTGTGTCACGGGCCCAGGGAGTCATGTCTCTCACACCTGCGCAGACACACACGGTACGTCTCCGGCCCTCACTCACTCCCCCAGCCAGCTGCAGTGCATACCTGATACGGAGCTGGGGAGGATGGCCTGGCTCACCAGGCCCGGTTGGAGCAGGTTTGGATCAAACTGGCCGGTCAGAACCGAGTTGTTCATGATCAGCACATTCGGGTCGGTGGAGGCTGGGCTCAGCAGGCTGGCGGGCTGCAGACCCTCGGGTGCACTGCGGGGCGTGGACTTCCGGGCTTTCTTGGGATCCGGCTTGTAGTGAAACTGCATGTGAGTCTTCCTCCGGCCAGATGTGCGGAAGCGCAGCTCGCAGTGCGGACACTTGAAAGGCTTGGCACCCGTGTGCAAGCGCATGTGGACCTTCAGGCTCCCCTTGGTGGAGAAGGCATTGCTGCAGACGTGGCAGCTGAAGAGCTTCTGACCTGTCAGGGGCAGAGAGGCAACATCACGTCCACGGGGGCCAGGCAGGACAGCCTGAGTGCAGAACCCTGACCCAGTCCCTCCTCCTGAGTGACAACCGCTCAGCTCTCACCACCACCACTACTGACTCTGCCAAGGACATGCTGACAGCTCAGCTCTTTCTTTTCTTTCCTGCAAAGGAGGCAGCCAGGAGCCAACACAGGTGGAAGCCACCTGGGAGCGTGTGCTCCGGGCTTGCAGAGCCCCAGTCTAGCACCACCTGCCCAGGGCCTGGACACCAGTCCTCTCCCTGCCGTCCTGGGTGTCACGAAGATCTTGCAGGCTACCCAAGAGCCCCGTGCAGAGCACTGAGCTGCCCTGGAGAGTCCCAGGAGCAGAATGTTAATTTTCCCTTTGTAAGGTATTTCTCTACATGGAAAGAGTTGCTACCCTATGACTGTAATCAGATTTGCTAAATTCCAGTGTTTACGAAACCTCAAAGAACCTAATCTCTTCGGCTTGATGACACTGAGGCCATCTTTCTAACAAACGCAGTTAAGTCTGAGTGAGAACATAAGACAACTCACGGCTGGGCCTCTGAGCCCCTCTCCCTCTTCCTTAGTGGTTTGTGGATCACTATCCCCACGTCCGAAATGAATAATCTTTTATATCCATTACTCACGGTTCCTGATTTTTACGCTTTCCATAATTTTGAAAGTATTTACATGTGCACAATACAAAGGAGCAAAGAAACCTAAGACATCACGGCCAGGCGCCAGCGAGGTGGCTGCTCTTACCTGTGTGGGTCTTCACGTGGCAATCCAGGGTGGACTTCACAGTGAAGCTCTTACCACACTCCTCACACTTATACGGCTTCTCCCCCGTGTGGATGCGCACGTGCCTGGCAGGAAGCATTGGCAATTGAGTGCTTTCCTTTTACTGTGATATACAGTCCAAGGAACTTCATGATTTTAAATTTATAACTATCCATATAAATAAAAGTTATGTGAACTCTGTACTGAATAAATTTGGCCAAACAAAACCTTTGAGCTTCACTCTCTACACAAAGACCAAAAAAAAACACACCCAGCCCTGGCCGGTTTGGCTCAGTGGTTAGTCAGCCCATGGACTGAAGGGCCCCGGGTTCAGTTCCAGCCAAGGGCACGTACCTTGGTTGCAGGCTCCATCCCTGACCCTGGTTGGGGCAGGTGCAGGAGGCAACCAATCAATGTGTCTCGCACATCAATGTCTCTCTTCCCCTTCCCCTCTCTCTGAAAAGCACTGGGAAAAATATCCTCAGGTGAGGATTAAAAAAACCACCAAAAACATAAACCCAAAAGACACTGAAATCCGCAAGGCCAATGAAACTAGGGCTCACTAAAAAACAAGAGCCCTAGCAGACCAGCAGTGTGGGCTGGCAGCGCCCACCGTGGTCTGCCCCCCATAGAGCATGGCATCAGTTCTCCCTCAATCACTAAGCTCCAATTACAACTTCACAGATACCAGAGTCACACAGAAATGAGTGCGAGCAATCCACAGAGCAAGCACACTTCTAGTCAACATTCTGCAGGAGCTGAAAGGAAGCCCCAAAGTCTACAGCGGCCTGAAGCCATGACTCAGGAAAGTAATCGTCCCTTCAGTCACACTGGGCCCAGAAACAGCCTCCTGACTGCAGTGACAACGACCAGAGGGACACAGATCATATGCCCCCCGGCAGGGCCACACCTACCTGACTAGGTCGCTGGGCTTCTTAAAGCTCTTCGGGCAGTAGGAGCAGCAGTTGGCGAACCTGGGCTCAGCCTCCAGCTCGGCCTGCCGGTCCTTCATCTCGCTGATGCGGTCCTTCTCGGCGGCCGACTGCACCAGCACCTGCTCTGACACTGTGGCGCTTTCCTGGGGCTGGATTTTGGCTAACTGCGCCGTTTCCTCCTCGGTGAAGGTGATGACCTCAGGGCGCGCCTTTCTAGACGCGTTCCTCTCGGAATTTTCTTCCTCTTCCTCCACGCACATATCTAGACAGTGCAGGGAAAGGGTCAAATCCTAATAAAAAGTGAGTTTCCACAGAACAAGTAAGTCAGACTAAACGAATACGTGTGGTTAAATGAGTAACTCAATGGAGCTACATCTGAGATTCAAAGAGACTGTTCTGCTGTACTGAGAAACTAAGCAGGGTGACCACAAAGCCCAAGAAGGCTGAGTCTTAGGGGAGGATCAGTGACATCAGAGGGACACTATGACTAAAGGTGAACTTGTACCCACCGCTGCTAGCCCAGTAGTGAGCTCTGAGAGGGTCAGTGCCCACACCAGCCATGCATGGGTCCTCATAAATAGTCGCCCATTTGCTAACATGGGCAGAAAATGAATTATCATCAAATAAAGAAAATCAGCAGCCCAAAGGAGACCCAATCAACAAACTAGCAAACAGCCCGATTACTGAAAGGAAATATGTATCTTTAAATACGTGTGTGTGTGTGTTCTCTGCAGGAGCTGTAAGGATATGCTCACCTGGATCAAAACCAAGAACGAGCTGCTATGGAAACGTACAGAGGAAGAAGTTTGGCTGCGAGCACGTCACTACTGCGCAGGTGGCTAAAAATTTTTGAAAAAAGCTCAACAGAAACACTAACTAGCGAAGTGGACAGTGGCTGAAACCAAATGAGTGAATGTAAAGAGTACCTGGCTGGTCACTCTGAGAATACAGGGGAAGACGGCAGATAAATGAGTGGGGGAGAGGGGAGTAAAGGACAGGGAGGGTCAGGAGGGCGTGAGAGGAGACTCCTCCGGGACAGAGACATTTAGTAGGAATTCCAAAAAAAGGTAATATAATAAACTCAAATTCCACACTGTCAATAAAGATTTGGGGGCAGAAGGTTAGAGTCGGAGGCCCCATGAATACTCATAAAGAAATAGGGAGATACTGGATTAAAAATTTGAAAGTAACCCAGAACACAATCAATATAGCAAAAGTCATTAAGGAGCAAGGACTGAAACAGAGCACGACAGACAGAGGTGTAATAGGAGACAGCGCTGCTGGCCAGGCAGGCTCCTGTCAGTCACCACGAAGGAACTGAATCTATTGCAAGACTAGGTCTGAATGAAAGAAGCCAACTTAACAGGTGATTTTTCTTCTATCGACAAGGGAGTTCATGTGAAGTTCTTTTTTTCACTGATCCAAAGTAGGAAACACCAAGACCTAAAGGGGCACCTAAAACTACACGCAGCATGTGGTGAGGCCCAGACAGAAGGGCCCAAATCAGCCCTCACAGCCTGTGGACAAGCAGTCGATGTGTCTCTCACATTGATGTGTTTCTCTCTCTCTCCCCCGCCTTCTACTCTCTCTAAAAAGAAATGGAACAAAGTTCTCTGATGCGGATTAAAATATGTTTGTGTGTATATATGCGTGTGTATATGCATGTGTACAAGTGTGTGTATGTAAATACACACATACACAATGTGCACATTCTTAACACTGTAATTTTACTCATGAAATTTGCTAAAAAGAAATCAACTGAAAGTCCAAAAAGTATAAGCACAAAATAATACTGCTGGAATTACACACTACTTGTGGGGACTGCACAAGTCAGCATGTCTAACAGGTAGCAGGTACATGTACAAAGTGAGAGACGTCCCAAAAACCAGTTTTCGTGTCTGGTAAATGAGACGGTGTATGTGGTGAGACAGGTCCATACACGTTCTGATGGCCACAGTGGGACAGGGTGAAGCCCCAGGTCTGTCCACAAGGACGGGCAGAACAAAGCTGACAGGACGCATGTCCTCGGCAGAACAGAGACCTGTCTAACAGCATCAAATACACGCAGGACATGCTGGGGGAGGAGGACTGGTGGGCTATGAACCTACACAGGGCACCATGGCAGACCCTCTGGTCAGGAAATTAAGGTCTCGGTCTGCGGAGCCGCCTGGAAGGGAGGCGCATGTCCTGGAGGCTGACTGGTCAGCAGTGACCAGTGAGGTGAGAAGACCTCTCTGAGCCTGAGTGTGTGCTTCACAGAGCATGCACTGCTTCCGTGATCTGAAAAAATTAATTTACAGGTGATCTGTGCATGAACCTATCACTGCGTCAGCATCTGGCTAACAAGCCCTGAAGCAACAAACGGACAATACCTGCCCCTCCCTCAGCCTCGCCAGGCGCCGACGGGGCCGAGGTGCCTGCCTGGTGCCGCCTCATGTGCTTCTTGCAGTGAACTGTCGTCCGGAAGCTCTGCGTACAGAAGGGACACCTGTATGGCCTCAAGCTCGTGTGCGTGGCCATGTGTCTGGTGAGGCTGCCGTTGGTGGTGAACGCGGCATTGCAGACACTGCAGCTGAACGCCTTCACTCCTGTGACAATGGGAAAGGGAAACACCATTTCTTTACCTTAGAGTCCTACTAAGCAGTCAAAGCCAACAGAGAGATGCTCAATCAGCCACCACTCAAGACTGGTCGCTAGCCGGGGTCACCTGCTCTCAGGAACTGGCTCTGAGAACAGGGACCCTGGCAGCGTCTTCCCAGACTCACAGGGATGTCAAAGCTCCAAGAGCCTTTCTCCAAACAATGTCAGGGGCTCTCCATGCCTCTGTCTTTCACGTTTAAACTGGCAACGTGTCTGTGGGATCTGCCCCAGAAATGTCTTCCAAATCCATCATTTTTCACATTCTCACAGGCGAGGACAGAGTAGGAGAGCACAAACACCTCTGCATAGCTGCACACTGACATGATGTCTGAGCCAGAGACCACTCTCCGGACAGCACAGAGGCGGGCAAGCATGCACTGTTTCTGTGATCCGAAAGCACAGGACATCCCCCGGCCTCTGTCTTTTCTTCACAGAGGGGCCACCCTGGCTTCCTAAACCCAAAGCTGGTCAAGGCACTGTTTTTTGTAAAAGTAATGCATGACACGTGGCTTCTCCTGCAACAGGCGTTGCTGCCCTCGGCAGGGCCTTCGGAGCTCAGGTGACTGCTCTCACCCATAAGGCTGCTGCCTAACCACCGACCCACAGACTAGCCTGCAAAGCCTTCCCTGGTTTTGCTGTATGTTTTTAAGCACTACACCTCTACTTTCAAATAAGCCTTATACAGAATATATGTCACTATTAAACAGATACGTTAATATCTAAAATACATTAAACAGATAAAGTGATAGATTTAAAATATATGTAACAGCAAATCATGTATCTGATAAACAGTGTACTAAAAAACTCTTACATCTGAATAAGAGTATAAACATCTCATTTTAAGTGGCATAGGGTTAGAGCACACATTTCCTAATAAGCACATGGGGGGACGCTCAGCACCACCAGCCATCAGAGAAACTCAGATCGAAGCCCATCAGACCCAGTTCCCACTCCTCAGGACGGTCCTGGTGACAGACAGTAAGCCATGATGAGAACCAGAAAACATGCCCTAGTCCAGTGCTGGGGGGCCAGTGAATGGGGAGACTGCTGTGGAGAACAGTTTGAGGAACTCAAAGGTTTAAACAGCATTGTCCTAGGACCAAGGATTCCACTCCTAAATAGAGAAAACTGATATCCTCAGGAAAACCTACAGGCAGATGCCCACAGCAGGACTATTCCTAAGAGCCCCAAAGGAAACACCCCAGATGTCCAGCAGCTGCTGAGAGGACAGAATGTGGACGCTACCCACACAGGAAAAAAACACTGGGGGGCAGAGGGAAGGGAAGCCTGACACCCGCTCCTGCATGGATGAGCCCTGAAGAAGCGCTGAGGGAGAGAAACCAGTGACCAAGGCCACAGGCTGTAGGGGTCCAGTTCCATGAAACCTCCAGAAAGGAAAACTGCAGAGACAGAAAGCAGGATGGTGGTGCCTGGGGCAGGAGGCATGGACGGTACTGAACTTGTTTTGGGTGGGACAGGAATGTCCTAGGATTGGACAGTGGCATATGACTACGAGAACACACGAGAACCACACAATCCCGGGGCAGGCAGGCAGTGACCTGTGTGTGTCTTCTCATGGGACTTGAGTACCCCAGAGGAGACGAAGCCGCGCCCACAGAGCTTGCACTTGTAGGGCTTCTCCCCCGTGTGTGAGCGCACATGCTGCTTCAGGTGGCTGGACTTCTTAAAACCCTTGTGGCAATAGTCGCATCTGTAACACAAAGGAAGACACAGGCCCATGAACTCACAGCACGTGTGAGAGTTTACCTCTGAGACAGAGACATGCACGCGGTCCACCCCCATCATCGAACGGTCGTCGGAAACTAGGGGTCTCCAATGCGTAACACTATAAAATATTAGCAGTAAGGTTTCTGCTCAAGTATTTGTGGTGTTGAGCACACTCAGTAAATCCTACAGCTGATTCCCTGGCAGACATAGCATTTGACTAGTTACAGTCTTTCTTTAGAGATGGTAAGTTACTAGGTGTTTTCTTTACTAAGACTTGAGACCCTGAAAGCTTCCTTTGCTTAATAAGAGTCAGAACCACTCCTGAGTTAGGCACGTGGAAAAGTCAACTCACAAGACACTCTACAGCAGACTTCACTGGAGCTCCTTTGAGTCTATAAACGTGAAGTATTGGGCTGTCCCTCAGCTGTTATGGAATATATTAAAGTTACTTTAAGAATGAATAATATCAAATTTTCTATTTGCATATTATTAGAAACTAAAACAGAAGACTGAAAGTTTATTCCACCATACTCCCTGCTGTTCCCATTTCCAAGTTCCTGTCTGTGGTAGGGCGCCAGTGAGGGTCAGACCAAGAGCCTGCACAGACAGGGCTCACCTTCCTCCACTGTCCAAATGAGTCTACAGGCCGACTGACCGGGATGACGTTTAGAAATGTTACTCTGACATGCAGGTGTGGTACAGTGGGGTTACCCATTCAGTACTGCATAGGAGAGCAAGCCAGCAGCATCACCACTGACTTCAGAAAGCTAATCCTGCAGATGAGGTGGAGATGGATTCTGGTCCACGTGTCAGTAAAAGAAAATAATCTATTGAGAACTGAGTTGTACTAAACCGGGTGGTATTTGCTCAGAAAAGTGCTCCAATGAGGAAAGCAAACTTTTCTACATAGTCACATCTACTAATTAAAACCAACCACAATAGAGCGATCCTGGCAGGATGGAGGAGAAACAGCTCTGTGAGAGACCAGTTGGAGGCAAGACCTTCACCTCACGGCCACCTCCCAGCCCCAGCATATGCACCTCACTTTGGGCCACTCTCCCACCCAATGGGAACCCTCTCTGCCTGTGAAATGCCACTTCCTCTCTCCCCAGGGGCTACACCTCCTGCCCTGCTGATAACAAAGTTGTTCTTCCAAAGTGTCCAACAACCACCTGAACCGCAGGAGTTGACATCTACAGTGATCAAGTGACTTGCTGAGTTCCCAGTGGTAGGGCCCAGCGATTGCATCTCCAGGGAACTTCACTATCACCCACTTGTGTCATACTTATGGAACAAGAAGCAATAAGATGATAAAAGTACTAACACAATAACAGTTTAGGCTCCATGTTCTCAATGTCCTGGGGGAGGGATCCCTGACACCATGAGACTCCAGTAGCTGACCGTCCTCACCACACTCACCCTAAATAGAGTACCCAAGGGTGCTATCTCTGAGCCCCTTCTCTTTTGGGTGGAAAAACATCATGGCTTTAAACATTAGTCTCCGCAATGTAACTCCCAAATGTGTCCTTCCAGTTGGGTCTCACCCCTTAATTCCAATCTAGTGTAAGGACTGCCCACGTGAAGTTTCTCCTTGAACATGGATCCTAATGACACTAAACCAAGTCTTGGTGTTGACACCAAAGCCTGCTCCCTGAGGGTCTTCCCCTTTCCAGGGACAGTGATTCCATCCATCGCCTTGCTCAGGTCAATCCTAGTGGCCACCCTAACTCTGCTGTTTCTCCCACTTTCACCTGTAAAAGATCCTGGAGGTTCCGCCTTCTAAATGGATCTGGAACCATGCCCCACCCCCACCCCCACGACCACAACCACCCCTCAGTCAGCTGCATGGACAGACAGCTATCAGCACCCGCACTGTGTGTAGCTCCCGGGCTGTGCACTTCCCTTCATTCAACTTATCTCCATTAGCACGTGGGCTCCGTGAGGCCCGAGGGCTTCTTCTGCTTTGCTCACTAATCCAGCCCTTGTGCTTGACACTTGACAGGTCCTTAATAAAGTCTGAGTGAATGCAGGGTGCAAGGCCCGATGTCTAGGACTGCCCAGCCAATGTCAAGCAGGGCTCATGACCACACATTAGACTATCTCACAATGCCCATGCAAAACCCCAAATTAAACATCAGCAAGCAAGTACTTACTGAATTAATGAAAGTGTGGATAAAACATGAGGGGGGTCAAAGACCCTCAAGCCCATCTATGTGTCCCCCTCAGAAGCATGAACACCCAGATTCAGAATTCCTGCTTTGGTGTATTTCTGAACTTGTATTTTTGTATTTGTATTTCTGAATTCATGGAGACCTCAGGACGACCCACTCCTAAAGGTACAGAATCTAATGCCTGAGAACACCTGTCAGAGCACTTTTGAGATCTTGCACAGAAACAAACCCTGTGAAAACAAAACTAAGGACATCCCTGACCTCTCAGAAAGTATACACTTGATAATGCTAGCAAAACTAATCCACTTCAAAAGCCTTAATTAAGACCACTCATTTGAGGTAAGGCAGCTCACACTTTTTTTAACAGTAAATAACGAGGCATATTTTTTCTTAAATAGCTCTGAAAAAAATTATTAAAGTTAAAAAGTACTTTAAACAAAATTATTAAACTATTAGAAGCTCAAAGCAGTCCATAAAAACAATCCCACTTTACCGTCTCATCACACACATGCTCGTGTTTAACTGTATGAAACACACGTATTTTATTTGCTGCCCTGAGCCCCGCAGCAGCCTTGTCTGTTTCTCTCACCAGCGTATTCTGAGCACCCATGCAGGACGTGATCCCGAGGGTGCTCAGCACACACTTCGGGATGGACTGGCGGGTGGAGGGAGGGGGAGGGTGAGCAAAGGGATGCATTTCTAAAAGCTGTCTTTAACCTACTGCACCTGGCACACAGGTTGTTTCATATAATCACAGCAGAGCCTTGGACAAAAAGGCACAATATAAATTTAAATTATTTCTGCAAACACAGCAATGGCTGACAGTGGTGGCAGGAAGCTACAGCTAAGCAGGTTAAATGCACAGGCCAGGGAGAGGTCCTGTCACTTAATAGCTGCAGAAATTTCAGCAAGTAAGTGTCTTTGTCTCAGGTGCTTATTTATAAAATGGGGTGATGATGGAACCCATCTCCAGAGGTCTTGAGACCATTAAACTGCAGAGCCCTCCGTATGAGGCGGGTGCTCGCAGCAACACTGAGGGCCGCACTCATCTGGCCGCCCTGCAGGTGTGTCTACCTGTAGGAGCGCCGGCTCTGGTCCTCGCTGTCCTCCAGGAACTGGCGGCGTAGCGGAGGTAGGTCCAGCTCCTCTTGGGATGGCTCTTGAATCAAAGGAGTTGTCTGAAATTTAAGAGAAGTATAACACAGGCTGCCTGAATACCTATGAGTAAATACAAAGCAAAGAACCACCAAGGAAAAAAAATTCACAAATGCGGACTTAAAAGGGAGAAACTCCAAGTAGTTCATTACAGTCACTGGGCCAGATTAATAATAAAAATCATTTATACTGATTTCATTAAACACATTTATTTCCCAGTAACATACTTTAGTATGAAGTTTGATCAAGCAGGGAAATGACCTTAACAAGAGGTCACCCTTCACCTACTCCACTCTCACTAACAGTGACTCGGAGGCCTGCTTTCTGAAAATACGAAGTCTCCTATCTCCTAGCCCGTCACAAAATCACATGGGGAGAAAGACAGCATTCCACTCCAGGGGCGGCCTACGGAGAGCACCCCTCCAGGCCCACCGCTGGGCAAGACTACCAGCAGCTAAAAAGAGAGAGCAATCAACTGGCCAATCATTTTCATAACTATGAAAAATTTTCCAAACTGGAAAAATCAAAACCAAAACAAATGTCTTCAAGTTGACTAAGATTATGCATTTAAATACTTATGCTCACTACGCCAGCATTCATTATATTTTCATCTTAACACGTCTCTTTTAAAATCATACAAGTAGAAAGGTCTGGTTTTATGACTAAAGCAACAATGTTCCTCAGACGTTACTACACAGCACTCTACCAGCTGTCCCGATGTCTAACCTGAAAGGCAAAGCTGCATCATTATAATGGAATCTTTTAGTGAAACTAAAGTGTTTTAAGAAAAAAGAAAGCCCTATACGTGGAACACTTAAGCTCTCACAAGTGACACAATAACCTTAGTTATAAACTTAGTGTGCCCTCTTAAGTAGGTGAATCCTAAATACTTACAGTGTAGGACAAAAGAATGGGCTCAGTAAGGACGAGTGTCCCTGCCATATACTCACCACGTTCATGGGATCAGAGCTGGGCACTGGAAGTAAGCTCTGCTCGTGGAAACTTGTGGACAGGGCCTGAGACTCCAGTGTGCTTGAGTCCTGCAACTGCTGCACAGGTGGAAACTGAGGCTGCTGGTTGTACGTGTCCGTTACTGTAAAATCTAAGATAAATTAGAGAATAACTTCTACAAAAATTATTAGTTACACAAAAAAGGCCAAAAAAAATTGATTTTATAAATAAAGGTGTTTAAAGGGACATTGCTACTTTCTCAGTTGGAATCAGGAGTAGTTCTTACCAGCAGGCTCTAGAGTTACCTGTGAACAGGCAGAAGGCTGCACAGTGCAGAGCCTGCAGGCCAGCCGCCAACACCCAGTTACCCCCCCAAGTCCCCATGTCTACTCCACACCCTTTTCCTGGCTGCAAACTGCACATAAAATGGTTAAAGTCACTTTCCAGAAAATGTGAGCCTGCCACAAAACAGTCCCACTTGGAGCCAGCACTGACCCTGTGATAAGCCCGCTGGTTCAAAGGACTGCTGCGGAGGAGCCTGCTCTTCAAACTGGTCCATGTGCCCAGGGAGTGCGTGCTGTGGAGCCACAAACCTGTCTGAGGACAAGAACACAGAAAGAAGTGCAAGTTATTTCAGACTTACCAACCTGGGTACGTCCATCAGGTTTCGACAAGCAGCCTGCAGGATGCAACTCTGGGGCGTCACCTCGTGCTCCAGAAGCACTCTTCACCGAGCTGACAGTCTCCCGTGAGGTTCTAAATGCAGTTACAGCCAGCAACTGCTTAAAATCTCTGTGGATGTGCACTGTTCCAGGCAACAGAAAGGATACAAACTACAAAATCCTGCTCCGAGACTAAATACATTTGGGGGCATCCACAAAATAGTGAATTGGCCAGTGACTTGGCTTGCTAACGCGTGTGCTAGACGGAAGCCTAGGCCAGATGCAATCGAGCACGAGGCTCACTGTCCAGTCACGCTGACATTTCTGTAGCAAGGCTCTGTTAATGGAGGAAGCAACAAGTTGGCTTAGGAGGCTGAGGTCTTTGCAGACCAGTGACAAACCGTGCGCAGACTTACAGCAGTGGGGACGGCACTGAACCAGAATAGCCGTGATCTAACAGATGGGTACTTACTGGAAACGAAACATTTTGCAACATACTAAGGGATACAAGTAAGTTACAGAAAAGGCAGGTATGGAAAGGGCCTGCTGCACATCAGACTCTCTCGCCGGAACACAGGCACAGCACACGCTGTGACCTAGTCAGCGATGCAGACACCATGGAGCCTGGCTGAGAATGAGGGCTGCTGCGGCACTGCGCAGAGGGTTCCAGAAGCCAGCACCAGACATGTACCTTCATCTGCCTCCAGGGGCGGCTCTGCCAGCTGCTGGCCCAGCCCTGCATCTTCTGCACCCACGACATGCTGCGGCTCCAAGTCCAGCATGGCCTCAGGGTTTGTGGCGACCGCATCCGTCGGTGGCTGCAGCGCATCACTCTGGACCTCCACCTGCATCTGAGTGGACACGTGCACGGCCTGCTGGTCCACGGAGCTCCCGTCGAGCGAGGCGGCCTCCTGGTGCTGCTGTAGCTGCTGAGCCAGCTCATAGCTGTGAAAAACCATGCGTGATGCAAGTCAGACACTGCCAGCAGGAATAGGCCTGAGGCTATGGAGCAAGCTGGGCTCTATTCATTAAACCAAATTCACTACTACTAAGTAATAACTGAATTACTAAATAACATTTTCACTTTAGATATCTTCATTCTGAAGTCACAACAGTGATGCAGGTGAAAAGTAACTACTGTGATGATTCTGCAGAACAGGTGTCCTGCCTCAGTGCCCTCTGACTGTGGGGACACAGAGGCAGCAAAACAGGGTGAAGGACTACACCCCAGAATTTTTAAGTGAAAAAAATTAAAAAGCTGCCACAGGTTTCAAAGTAAAAACTCTCCCAACTCAAATTCTGCAGAGAGTCAAAGTTTCAGAAAAAGAACTGTGTGAAATGTATGGAGGAAAAGGGGCCATGAGCTCACCTGACAGCTCAAGGGAGGTCTGCGTGGCAACCTCACAAACTCAGACACCCAAAGTAACCACAAAGGATGGTCTGAAATTAAAACTTTCTAAGTAAAAGTAGTTTATGGTGGGTAGTCGTGTCCTAGGCTGACAAAGGTCCATCTTTACCTGAACCGAGCCTGTCTATTGTCTTTTTGCATCTACAATAACATATCGTTGGAATGTCAAAGTAATTTTCCTTTTCCTGGACCCCTCAAAGCACAGGCACTGCTTTGCGGAGACCACAAATCCCCTCGTTGTCACTGTTGACTGTTAACTGCCCTGCACCCACCTGAGTAAAAGAGGTGTATGTCTATCATTGTACGTTTCATCTGATCCCAAGTTTCCCTACTTAGCTTTCTCCCGTCTCCCTCATCTATCGCCCATGGATTTTGCGTACGCCCCTTAGTCTCTTTTGATTGTAATGCACAAAACAAGGTGCAAACTGCCATCTCTGGAGCTTTATCTCAATCCACTGAGATTCTGCTTCTTGGGATTTGTCAACAATTTGGCTCAAATAAGCTCAAAAATATTTTTCACAGGTTTGAATGTTTCTTACATTCACAAATGAGACAGTGCCTTTACAGACTGATTTTAGTATTACAAACACCTTGGCGTATGGACTGGGGCCAAGTCCTACAGCCCAAGTCTCACAGCCGGAAAGCAGACTAATGACCCGCTGCCTTAGAGATGGGACCAGGGGGCATGCGGCCACTCTGTTATTCTGCAAGGTCATTATTCAGGTGAATATCACGTTTTTACTATACAAAATAAGTCACCTATGTTTTCATCAAGGTAAAAAATTCCACGTTCAAAGAGAAAAATGAACAATGAGCTCAGTGAGTAAGGCAAAGAATTTAAGGAAGAGCCGGAAGTTCTCTGCTGACCGGGCTGCACACACAAGCTGCACCCTCAGTTTGATTCCAGGACCTCAGGAATCTGCCAACTTGGAATTCCATTTGTAGTTCCAAACAAAACATTTTCTCTTCACTTTCTGGTCTCGAGGCCTCTCACTGAGGAAGGGGATCAAGAACACAGTAAGAGCTGCCGAGGACCTGGGGCCTGGCTGTCGCACAGACCCTCATGGCCACAGGCCCACCCGAGTGGAAACACTGCCTCCGAGTTAATGTTCTGGAGAAAAGGGCGAGCACGCCTACTTCCTGGTAACTCCTACTTCCACCATCTCCCAGGAGGGTCACCCTACCCAGACTCTCCATTACAGACAGAATTCTGTGGTTTCAGAGAAATGCTGGCTGAACGAGCTCCAGATGCAGCCAGAAATGCATGTCACCCCGGGCTCACTGGATCGCTTCATGCAGAGCGTAGGGGAGGGAGCACCAAGTGAAAGCATACATCAGATCTGATGATGGATCTACGTGGTGGTGGAAACGCATTTTCTTCTAAAGTAACAACACAAACTAAGTACCATTCACATACACTAATGCGCCCAGAATCTAGGGCTGACTCAGGCTGTCTTCTTGAAATCTCCACTACCAAATTATACTAGATGGTGGTCTAGCACATCATCTGTATGGACTGTCGGCTTTAACAGAGAGCTCACAGAGCATCTGCCCCATGTGGACTACCTCCGAACTATATTAGACATTAAAGGTTCTCAATAGGTTGACACTGACATTAGTGTTTTAGCCCACACACCTCAAACTAGAATGACACAAAAGTCAGAGAAATTACTTCTCAGGCACACTCTCCAGCACCGGTGGGAATTATAGGGGTTACTACAGTGACCGTCGGGATGGTGCCTACCGATGGGTTTTCATGTGCTTTTTGCAGTTCAGGGAGGTCTTAAAAGTCTTCTGGCAGTAGGGACACATGTAGGGCCGCAGGTCATTATGGATGCCCATGTGCCGCCGCAAGCTGCCCCCCGTGGTGAAGGCTCCATTACAGATCAGACACTTGAAGGATTTCAGCCCTGTGTGCGTCCGGACGTGTGCTTTGAGCACTCCTGCAGAAACAAAGCCTCTTCCACACTGAGAGCACTTAAAGGGCTTCTCCCCTGTGTGAGACCTAAAAGAGGAAGCGTGTAAATAAGTGAGCACATTCCTGACACTGTCAAATGCTTTGCAGCTCAGAATGCACTCCCCTAGGATCTCACTGAGCTCAGGCTGACACTGGGCAGCAGACACACTTGCCCCTTCACTAGTGAGAACACCTGAGGCGCAGCCTCAGGGGAGTGGCCTGGCGGTACAACACTGGGACACACCTGAGACAAACCAGAGCCCCAGGCTTCCCTCAGTGCTGTACTTTTCTCCTCACCTCTGTCTCCCCTGATAAAGTTTCAACTTTCCCCTCACTGTTGCTAGCACCAAAAATTAACCTAAACTCTGACAAATACACCTGAAAAACTGTTAATGAGCATAATTCTAATGAAACAAACCAAAAATTTCTTCCATGTGTCCTAGAAATTGCAAACACTTAAATATAAAAGAAGTTACTGTAAATAAAATTCAGTGACAATCTCTGGCTAAAATATTTTAGTCAAGACACTAAGGAACAAAAAAATAAATTACCAATAAATATTTGGGGTCAAATGTGACACTTGAAATTCCAAAAGCTCACACTACTACCCTTTGTATTTCTACTAGCTGCCAGATCCCCAGGTCACTGCCAATATCCCAGATCCCACCTCTGAATGCGTGGTCTTACCTGATGTGCTGCTTCAAGTGGCAAGATTTTTTATATGCACGATGACAATAAAAACACTTGTATGGTCTATCTGCTTCATTTACAAAATTATTATTAAAATAACTCTGAAAAAACTGGTTTCTTGGAATGGGCTGGATAAGACCTGCAAACCAAAAAAAAAAAAAATCAGGAATAATTCACTGTCAGAGGTACTAAAAAAGGTAAACATCAAAGGCATCTGTTTTCCCCAGAAGATGAACACTCCGAGGAGTTAAAGTATAGATTCCAATGTGGAAACTAAAGGCTATTTTCACTGTGTTAGGAACTGTCTGTCGGGAAATACTCCTAAAGTTAACATAAAATAGACAGTTCTTCAACATAAGGAATACCCATTTGTCAGTTAGTTCCCCTGGTTCTAGAGCCAATCTTAACAGATATTTACATTTACTTTCTATATGAGCACTTGTTGGCATGAAATTTACATAAGTATATCCAAAATTGAGGTTAACTGGAATTTAAATCCCTTATTTGCTCACTATGAAGAAAACTGTAATATAGGTACTAAAATAAATGCAAAGCAGAAGTAATTCTAACAGGATCTTTTGTTCTGAAAAAGCATTTTCACAGAAACTTTATTAAAATTACTAATTGGAGTATAACTTAAATAATTCAGGTTTTAAACAGATAAAGGCTTCCCTTGGCTGACCACAGACTACTGCGTCCTGATCAAGCCCCAAAGCACACGCACTTAGACCTGAGGGGGGGGCCGCAGCTCACAGAAGCGTAGGAGGGTGCACTGTGGCCCCGCCACGGCTGCCCCCCCCTCCAGCATAGGGAGCTGCCTGCTGGGACCTACTCACCCCCAGTCTCCCCTCAGCTGTGCCCTCACCCCCACGTGACGACTATGAACAGGGTGGGCGCTGTTTCTGACCTCCCCACCGGCCCCTGAGAGAGCTTAATTCTTTCCCTCTGACTGATGTTCCCCTCCCAGCTCTCCTAGCTGTGCGCACAGCACACGCCGAGTCAGGCAGGACAGGCAGTTCAGAACCTCAAGTCTGTCGTTCCCCAGGCCTGGACACCATGCGTTCCCGCTTCCTCATCTCTACTGCCCTCCAGTGACCCTGATGACAGGGAGGAAGTGACAAGTGGAGGGGATGCACTAGCTCAGCTGACTCGCGTCGCACATGTGCTAGACTTGAGTGAACAGGACCTGCACAGGCACCAGGAGCTCCTTTATTTCTCAAAGAGAATCCCAAACACCCCGGGAGTTGGGGGTAGCCCACACAGCACAACCCTCCAAGCTGCCTACAAGCCTTTCCCCAGTTCAGTTTTATGGACCACTGGAGCCACTGGGACCATCCACAGAAAGTCCCTCTCCAGGCAGCCCCAACGTCAGTCACTCCAGACCCTGCTCTTCCTACTCCTCTCTCCTGCTCAGAAGAAAAGCTTCATCCTTCAGCCCACCCCACCTCCACCCCCGACACCACACTCAAGCTGACAGAGAGGACATGCCTGCTGCTCAAAGACAGGCTGGCGATGCAGCAGAGGTTCTGTGAGCTCAGGCCCACCTGCAGTCCTCTGCACCGCTCCTGTCAGACTCCCGCCCTCCTTGGAGCCCCAGCCCCACAGTGTGTGCTGCTCGGCCTCTCGCATCCCCAGCTGAAACACTTTTCTCAGTAAACTGTGACCCTAACAGCCATCAGCTCCAGCACCATCGCGGCCCCTGCCCAATGCATTCCTGCACGCAGCGTCACCCTGTCCCTCCACGTCCATAGTCTCACTGCTGGCTGCGCCACACTGTGACTCAGTCACTCAGCACTGTCACTGCCATTCCTTGTCCTCTTCCCTCTGCTGGCTGTAGCTTCCTGAGCCTGTCTCATGGTTACGGACACAGTCCTGAGCCCACATAGCCCCTGCCAAGCAGGACATAAAAATATGACTGACAAATGAATGGTCCTGTCCTCAGTGTCCAGCATGTTGGAAGGAAGAAAGAAGCAGCCCAAGTTCAAACCAGGGTCGCTGCCCATGGTCGTATGACCGGCCTTTACCCCACTGGGCCTAGGGAACCGCGCTACGTCTGTGAAGAGAACACAACAGAATGTGAACATTCTCCAAAACGGAGCTGAGAGGGGTCAGGCGCCAGGCCTATGAAACTGAAATGCGATGCGCCCTGAAGAAGGCCCACCGCAGGTTGGAATTTACGCAAATAGCTCACACCAGTTAGCACAAAAGTGCCACTGAACTAACACTGTGAACTCCAAATGCTGCTGGGTGAGCCACCGTGTGGCTCCCTATCGAACTAAATGGAACAAATAGTTTCTAAGAAAAACGCCAGTAGAGAAATTTGAAAACTCTCCTGCCGCAACTAAAATGAACAGTATAAACATACAATGTGAGAAAGTAATTTTGTCTGCTTTAATAAGGACATTAAAAGGCGACAAGAAAAACGAGAAACAAATAATTTCAAGCAATTAGTTCTATAAATCCACAGCAGTAGATAAAATAAGTGAAATTCACAGTAGTTTTTGGAGAGTGAAAGCCCTCTAGTGGTTTCTTTCCATCTGTTTCACAGGGAGACAGAAGATGCTTCACAAACAAGAAGAGCTGCCTCTACCATCTCCAGCTCCAGAAGGAATACAGGACAGGTGTGGGGACAGCTAGTCAGAGTGGGAGTCAGTCCACAAAGGCAGGGCTGCGGGAGTGTTTTTCCCAGGCTCTGCAGTACGTACTAAAGCCTGACAGACGGCAGGACTGTGGTTTCAAGAGGAGCAGGCGCCTGGACCTCCGGCAGGCTTTAGGCTGCCCCTGGTGCAGCTCCTGCAGACAGACTGACAGACATAGACAGAGACAACCCCAGCACTGTCAGCCCTTACGTCTCGCCTTCACCAAAGCACCCTGCTCAGAGTGTTATCTACAGACTGCAGACTGGCGATCCGCACCCGGCCTCACAGCTCTGAACCCTCACAAGGCTCACAGGTGTCCCTCCTCTCCGTGGTACCCCCATCCTGGTGCAGGGTCCCCCTCCAACACCTACCTCGGCAGCACACACCCCGCCCAGCCCCCACCCTCTCCCAGCTCTTTCCCTGGTGGCTTCTGGAACCTGCGCTCTCCATCAAGAACAACTTCACAGAAAGTCTGGTTCATCATCTCTTTTCCACACACAATGTCTCTAGTCACAGGCTTCCCTTGAAGCTCTCCTCATTCCTAAGGACCCATTCTTTGAGGCTGAGGAGCTCTGGACCAAGGGGTGGCCGTCTCTGTCTCCCAGTTGCCTCCAATTCCTTCCCCATCCACCTGCACTCCACCAGCCAAATCCCTTCACTCAATCCCTTGCCAAACCACTCTTCCACAACTGCAAGTCCCCTGGAGCTTCTGAAATAATTCAGATCACACAGAGAAAAACAAAAGAGCTTGACAGGAACCCCTCTCAGAGAAAACCCTAATGACCAGCTTGGTGCACACTGGGACAAAAGGGCTAGTTACCTACAAACACAAGTGGGATCGGCCACACATGCTCTTCTGTAATAACCTGTTTCCTAACATCTGCTCAAGTCATTGCCTACAACAGCATCCCCTCAGCCTCTGGGCATCTGCAGGGAGTCCCGCTGTACCAGTGTGCTCAGGGCACCGCAGACAATGCTAGTGGATGTTTCATCACCTCTGTGCACCGTCACAAAGGGTGGTAAGCAGCCTCGTACCTACAACTGCGTCTCATGTTCCCACAGACATGGAATCTCGGGATGGTACCAGGCACAAGTATTTTGAAACAGACCCCAGAAGATTCTAAGCCCTCGGCAAGGGGGGAGGGGTGATTTCCCTACTTTGAATTGTTAAAGGAAGTAAAATAACAGCCCGCAGTGTTTAGAGGCTTTGTTTTCCACCTCTCATATTTCACAAACACTAAGTTCTGTGAAAAAGTTGGGCTAATTATAAAGTCTCAATCTTTGAAGAAAAAAATTAAGGGTGAGTTAAGCATACACAAAGGTCCTGGGGTGTTGGCTATATTATGTCATTTCTATGAGACTATCCATTAGTCTTTTCATATGGGTTAGTTTTTAAGGAAATTACTAATCTCAAAGAAAGGCATTTCAATTAATATGCTTCAGAAACAAACTAAAAGCATCCTTAAAATGTTTTAAAATCCCTCCCATAAAAACAGAAGAGACAGCTGCCTTTGATTGTGGTGCTTGGGGAAAATACAATTTAGTCCCACAGGAGCGTCCTACCCTGCAACTAGTAAGAGAGGATAAATGCCACAAAACGACAAACGTAGATATACGCGATAAATGACAAAATAATTCAACATACTAGGTTAGACAAATGTGTTGAAGGAAAGATACACGTACTAGTATCAGTAAGATTAAAACATAAATATAAGCTTGGAAGATCAAGGTTTAAAATAATAGAGAACCAACGCCTGGCTTACTTCAAAGAAAAGGTATTTCAAACACATATGCTAAGCACAGTGATACTGCACTTACACACACACACACACACACACACACACACACAGTCATGTAGAGAGAGAAAAATGGTGATTTTTAAAAACAGACATATTTAAATGTATATAATTTGAAAATCCATAAGCAGCTACAGATCAAAATATTATAATCACCCAACTCCAATACTTCCTCAGTCTACATATATTTCATTTAAAATTTAGTTCTTAAGTTAGGAGGAAGAATATTTAGAGTGAAACGGGCAACACGTCTAGAGCTGTAGAGTGCAGTAATGGAGCAACATTTAAGGCCAGGACAGACCACAGTGCTCGATAGCGAGACAGGACTACTGAAAACCCGGGTGCGCCCTCCATACTCCTGTGTGGAGAGCAGTGGTAATGGATGTGGGAGGGTGACCTTCACTCAACACAGGCCTGGCCTAGACCCAGAACACCCAGTTGCCAACTCTACCCAGAGCACAGCCGGTCGTACAACCTATGAGCAATGCTACAACTCTCTCTAGGACCCAGTGTTTACATCGGTAGATGCAGTCTCGGAAAGACTGTTTTTAAGTTCCCATGCAGCTGTAAAAGTTACTTTTAATGTATTCTAATACTTTCCAAAGCCACAGTCTTAGTGTAAAACACACTGTGTTTTAAGTAACTAGATTGAGCTGGGACATCTCATTTCCCAATTTAGTCAAATAATTGTAACTCAACTATGTCAAACCCTCTGTCATGTTTTTATCAAATCTGTCCCCCAAAGGTTATTACAGTCACATCTATTCAATACAGCCCCCAAGGAGCCCAGGGTCTGAGAGAAGAGACAGACGCAAGTACACATAACAATGAAGGTAAGCATCAAAATAAGTATTTATAATATTTCACATTTTACAATGTGAGGCCACCTGTATATACCATTTCCCTCATGAATTCCATTTCCACTAATTTGGCCTAAGGTGTGAAGCCAGCAAGTAAAATATGTCCTGTTTTAACCTTGGAAAAAGTCTGGAGAATCAGGACTCTAGTTTCACTCAACTAAGGATTTATAAACTTAAAGTCAAAAAACACATAGGTTTTTCGCTTGATTCATGGCAATCTGAAAAAAATGGTAATTTGAGAGTAATCTTCAAGCAGGAAGAATAATTCTAGGGCCATTAAATAAATGTTTAACCTGTCCTGACTTTTCAGGAATAACATAAACCTCTGAGAACCAACAGACTGTGGGGAAGAATAAATACACATTCAGTAAAACTGGTGTTTTGTTTGCGAGCTACCAAAACCAGACAAGGGTATCAAAGTACTCAACCTGCCACGGGAGTGCCGATCCATTTCTATGCTCTCAGCAATCAAATCCCCTAAGAGTTGTAGTTCCTAGGAAGCCCAAAGATTACAGCAGTCCAAATAATAATCGACTGCACACCAGGTGAAAACTGAAACATAAGAACATCCAAGTGCACTATGCACTTCCCATAGTGACCCCCTGTCCATCTGTGAGAGCTGTTTGGGCAGAGATCCTTCCTCGGTGAGCAGGCGCACACAATACCTTCACTTGCACACACTTCTCTAACCGAGCAGCAGTTTGGACAGAGCTGGGACGTAAGCTGTAACTGTGTAACCAACAATGCTTCACCCGAACTGCACTAAGGCCAGCCTGAGCCACAGCAGCAGCGCGTGGTCATGGCGTTCCATGGCTTTCGGCACGTAGGAGGGAAGAGAGCCTTACCTACGTCGGTTATGAGGATTGGCTCTTGCAAAGGAATGTCAGGGACTGGAGTGCTGGCCTTGCCCACACGAACTTTGCCGGGTTTCCGCTGGTGCCTCATCTTTCTCAACTCCGAGTGTTTAAAGTGGGAACCTATGTGTGTCTTCCTATGGCCTGAGGTTCGGAATTTTTTGTCACAGTGAGGACAAGCAAAAGGTCTGACTCCTAAAAAAGAGAAACACACACCATAGAGTTATTTCAAGGAACTAAACCGTAACAATGAATGCCAACGTAACATTCTAGTATTTACTATCCATTTGAATATTCGACTTGCCATTTCATGCTTCTAGTTTCCTAGCTATTCTAAACCAGTTATTTTCCCTAGTTTGCATACATTTTTTTTCTAGTTCATATTACAGATGCTAAGGCATGTAATAAAAGCATTTTTTTTTTTTTTTAATTTACTGTTTTCAGGACAAAGTAAAATACAGATATTCATACTAGCAGTCCTGGAGAATATTCGAGTGCTGAACTGCGGCCTGGAGGCCCACGCCACGTCTGGGCTTTGCTGGGGTTGTGTGAAATCGTGTTAGAGGAGTACCTAGCAGTGCCCAGCATTTAGGACACAAGCTGTTATTAACTGTAAACAATAACATCACTGCTCGTAATGATAGTAATATACTCTTCACAATCCTCTACTATCACGTTCCTTTCATGAAAGAAATTTCCTTCTTTTGCACTTTTACTGGTAAATGAAAGTGCAGATTCCAGCGACAGGCATATACCACCACTGACTGATTTCAGCTTTTTCAAACACTCATCCACGTGTCAGCTCAGCTCAGGAGCCTGGGCAGGACCAGCAAACTACTGCTAAGGGTCGGTCCGGGTTCCTTTTGGGGGTGACAAAAATATGTGAAAATTAGGTAGTGTGTGGGTCTCAATTCTGGACTGTACACTTTAACACAGTGAATTTTATAATCTGTGCATTATATCTCAACAACGCTGTAACAAATAAAACTGGAGCCGGAATGTAAGTTTTCCTGCCTCATCGCTGGTTACGTAATATCCGGACCGCAGAGGAGGCGCGGGTCCCCTCTCTGCTGAGGCCGGCACAAAGGTCCCCGCCTGAAGGGTGCGGGCTGCAGCGGTCAGGTCTTCGCAGGGCGCACGCCGGCGCTCCCTAACCAAGGCCCACTGTCTACACCTGAGTCTGGCCGCCCACAGGCGGTCTCCCTCCCTCTGCTCTCCTGTGCTCCTCCCCGAGCCCTCTGTCTGACTCTCCCTCGAGGGCCGCAGCTGAGGGAGAACCAGTCCCAGGTCCTCTCGGCGAGGAGGGAGCCCTGCGGAGCACCGGGGGCGTCCGCAACCACGGCTGGGAAGGGAAAACGAGTCCCGAAGGCGCAGGCCCCATGCAAGGCCGGCCCGGCGCCGCCTCCCCCGCACCTGTGTGCAGGCGGATGTGCACTTTGAGGCTCCCCGACGTGGAGAAGCTCTTCAGGCAGTACTGGCACTTGAAGGCCTTGATGCCCGTGTGCGTCTTGATGTGCGCGGTCAGGGTGCTCTTCACGGCGAAGGCCCGGAAGCACTGCGGGCACTTGAAGGGCTTCTCGTGCGTGTGGATGCGGATGTGGCGCACCAGGTCGCTGGGCTTGCGGAACTCCTTGGTGCAGTAGGGACACACGTGCCACCGGACCCCGTTCTCCTCGCGGATGGACCCTGCAGCGCAGTGAGACATAAGCTGTGAGATGCCAGATCAAGGCGCCTAAGGGCTGTCTAGGGTCAGGTAAACGGCTCCCCGCAACTGTGAAAAGCTACATGCTCTTCGCCCAAGTAGAAGATGCGTGACCGGTTGTGGAAATGGTGGAAATGTCCACCGTCACTGCGATCAGTGGGAGCTATGATTTAATCTCACAGAAAGCCCAGCTGCCCCAGGAACGCAAGTCACAGCCTGCGCGAGGCACGAGGGCGAACAGGCCGGGCGCCCTGACTCCAGTCGGTCAGCTGCGGGCCGACACCTCCAAAACCGCGGCGGGAGGGCGACCGGCGCTGTGTGAGCCTCGGGCCGGACAAGCGCAGGGGGCGAGGCGGGAGGCTGAGTCCTTGTGCTGTGCAGGGTCGGGACAAGTAGCTGCGACAGCAGTAATGGACATGGCACCGACGAGTTCATGATCAACATCAAAGGATTATTTTGTAACTAATATTCAATTTCCAATCAGGGTTAAAACTATTTCTACTAAAAAAAAATCCACGAGTGGAATTAATGGAAATATGATAATGAAAATGATTTGTAAAGTATAAAAAATTTTAAAAATTCAGCAAAATCACTTTATTCCTTGTTTTTTAACTAGATTTATTCTTGTGAAATTAAAGACACGATAATGTGAAGAACCCACGTAAAATCAATCCAAGTTCATGAAATTCGCCAGGACACGCAGCTCTGTTAACTCGGCGCAGTGGCCCTCACTTAACGCGGGAGGTTCGGGGAACCGGACTTAAAGCCGAGCGCCCAGGACCCCACGGAAGGCCCCGCGCGCCTCTCCGCCGCACCCGGCGCTCGCAACAGGCCCGGCTCGCTCCCGCAGCCAAGGGCGAAAGGAACGCGCGCTCACGCGCCTAAGAGGCAGTGACAGAGCAGGGTCACCCTTTCCCGCTGGGGCTCTCACGCCCACGCTCGCACCGCACTCAGGTCACGCGCAAGGCCAGGGCGCGGCGCTGGGGCGGGGAGGAAGCAGGCGCGGAGACAGCCCAGCAGAGGCGGGGAAGCGTGCACTTTCCTCATCAACCTCCCAGCAAACGACGTTATTCGAGGGCCTGCCGCACAGATGGAGCTTCAGGGGGAAAGGAAAATCCGTTTCCCCCTCCCTGTTCCCAGTAAGCACCAGGAACTCTCTGCTCTGCGGGTAACCCTAGGGGGAGAATGTGTATTTTCCTCAACATACTGCTCTTTGCAAGACTAGTTAACATAGGTTAGGAAAAAGAATGAAAAATAACATTTTTTTTAAAATCAGTGAAACAATGGAAGCAAAGACAGAAGAACCAACCAGGAGGAGAGAAAAGAGAAGGAAGCAGGAAAATGGTTTCAAATAAGAAAAAGACATTTAGTTTACAGTCACATTGCTTGTATTAAGGCAAACTAAAATGTAAGACTGCTTAAAATTAATAGGTAAAAGTTAATTCAGGAAAGTGGAGTCATTACCTAAGGTCTTATCATGACAAATCAGAAGAGCAAGGTACAACAAGGTGAGAGGGAATTATAATATTAGGCAAAATTAGGAAATCATCATGGAAAATCAGATGTTTTCCAAACAAAAATTAGAATCCTATCTTTAATTACATAAGATGACATAATATAAGACTGTCACCAGGTTCTAATTATCTGTGGGACTAGATGAAGCAGATGTTACAAATCTGGCCTGCACATTTGCTTGGCCCTTCCAGGGCTGCAAAGGAAAAGTGAAGCCAGGTCGGCCCTTTGACAAACTTCAGGGAGATGGGTAAAACCACAGCTGCATTCCCTGTGGCAACCTTCTCGAGTGCTGGGCAACAACCTTCCTCTTCAAATGTATTAGCAAATTTTAAAAGAAAAAGCATATATTATAATGATTGTTGAGGTAGAAAGGCTTTTACTAAAATTCAACATCTAGTCTTAACTTCCAAAAAACTGTCTAAAAACAGGAGGCAGTGAATAAAATAGATCTCAATACACTTGACTGAACAGAAAGATATGCAAAAGCAATCCTATCAAAGTCAGGAAAAAGTCCACTACCACTGCCGTTAATTTATAGGGTTTAGAGATACTAGGCAATGAAACAAGATAAAGAAACATGCCGTATAAGCTATAATGGAGAAGGTGAAATCATTATTTACAAATAATATGATTCTATGCCTAAAAAACAGTCTCAGAAAGAGGACCATGTTTTAATACATGGACATCAACATCCTTCATATTTGCAAACTAAATCCAGAAGAAAATTTTAAAATACTACTAACATGGAAAAGAAAGGTCTGCATAAGTAAAAGCACACACTCTGCTCTTCAGTACAAACACTACAATGATTACGCATCGATCCTCTCTGCCTAAGTTACTTACACACAAATACCAAGAGGACTTTTTCAGAACTACAGTTGTGGAAGTTTAGCAGAAGAGTCTAAAGTATACATGAAAAAATAAATAGGTGATAACAGTCAAAATTAAACTTTCAAAAACACAGCNTACATGAAAAAATAAATAGGTGATAACAGTCAAAATTAAACTTTCAAAAAAACAGCAAGAAAAGACTCGGCTCCCTACTTACGAAAGCACGCTATAATGCTAAAACCCACTTGGTACCACAACACATGAATGAAAGCACAGGTGAGTGAGGTAGAATAAAGTCTAGACAGAGCCACACAGGTCCGAGCGGAGCACAGATGGTAAAGGTGGCTTTGCACTGCAGTCGGGGAAAACGACATAAAGAAATGTGTTTGTACAGCTGGGTGCCCATCTAGAAACAAAATAAAGTTGAGTCAAAGATTCAGTTTAAAATATCAAAGTATGAAACTGTTAGACAAAAGAGGTAGCTTTCCATAGTGTCCCTGGTGAAGTCTCAGTATTACACAAGTCCAGAAGCCATAACACACTGACCAATCTGCCTATGGAAAAACAAAATCTCTCCTTTTAACTCAAAAAGGCCTATGAATCAGAAAAGGACAGGTACCACCAATACAGCTCACAAGATACTATCATCCTTAGCATATCAATCACAGCGAATAAAAGCTGAGTCTGCCCACTGGGAAACACTGGTGCTTTTCAACGGGAGAAGCCATTCAACCTCTCTCCCCTAAGAAATGAAATCAGAACCACAGTAAGAACTGTTTTAACCCAGAAGAGGAGGAGGGGATCAGAGCTCCGATAATCTCTTCCCCCTGAGGAGATAGGCACCCCGCCCCTATCTATCTGTGTTTTGGGCGTGTGAATCGCCAGGACTCCAAAGAAGGAAGTTGGTGATACTGACCAAAATTTCTACAGTACTTACAATTTTTTTTTCTTTTGTTATCAAGCACATTAGTGACACAAATTATGAATCAGGTCTGCAGGCTGGATCAACTTTCACACCCTGATGTTGACGACTGGGCTATGGGTATGCAAGGCGGTGTCCTTGGTCTTAGGAAATACACTCAAGAAGTTAAAGTTACATGGGTACTAACTACATCTGCAGGTCACTCAGAAAATTCAGGGAAAACTCAGGCCAAGAGCAAGCAAATGTAAGAAAACGTTAATACTTGGGTAATCTAGAAGAAAGACGTATGAGAATTCTTTGTATTATTTTTGGAACATTTCAGTTAAACCTAAAATTATTTCAAAATTGAAACCTTAAAGCAACCTGTTTACAGGGCTTAGCCTATGAAACGTGACACTGCTGCAGATGCGCTACAGGTGCAATTACACACGTGAAACCGCATGGCCACCCACTCAGCCACTGCAGCATGTTTGCCTAGCCAAAAGTTGCACTCACCTGAACATTACTTACCCATGAAATGGGATGGGAATCGGGCATTTGTAAAATAAGAAGGTGGGAAAAGTGAACTACAGAATACTTGCCAGTACACCCCCCATCCTGCTGAACACTAGACAGTACGCCCCCCATCCTGCTAGAGCACTGGGCAGTGCGCCCCCCATCCTGCTAGAGGATGGGAGGAGGACTTGCACTCATGAGCCGGCTTGTGTAAGTCTCAGCAAGGCCCCAGCTAGGGTAGCTGCCCTGGCAAGGATGTGTGAAGGGCAAGAATGACCAGGGACTTCTCCCTGGACACTGTCTGTATCTTCTGAATTGTGTGGCAGGCCCAAGTTTCGCCTACTTATGGAATAATTTTGAGCTATCTGCATTCCCTAAGTACTTCCTATGGTCACACCGTTCTACGTCCTTCAAGTGGACTTTCTCAGTTTCCTGCCTTTTATTCTACCATTGCCACCTTTTCAGAGGAGAAAGCTGACATTTTCAAGGTTAACTAGGTTTCCCAAGGTCAGATGCCAGTAAATGGAAAAGTCGAGATGCATCCTGAGGCCACATCACTTTCCCCAGAAACAGAGCACCCGCTTGGAGGGACCATGGGGTGGCGGTACAATCACTACAATCACGCACGCATGGCAGAGCTTTCGGGGCACTAATGGAGAGGTTAAATTCTGTTATAAAAGTGACAGCACAAGATGAAAAGGCAGGCATCTCTAGCAGCCGTGTCGGTCACGTAGCTGCCCCTACGGTGGAACCAGCAACACATCTGGACTGTCTGCGGCATCCTTGCCAGCCCTCAGCACGTGGAAGCAGCAGGACTACCTGCCTGCAGGAAGCAGAGTCCTATTCCCCAGCCTGCCTCCGAGCACAGGCTTGGAGCTGCAGGGCTGCGGCCTCCAGAGAGGTTCTTAGGGACCAGGTGCAGGCACCCGGTTACAACACAAGCCTGCCTCTGGAGCTACCTGCATGGAGGGCAGGTGTTCTCGCTGAAGATACTAGACACATTCCAGCTGTTCAAAACGGATGGTTTCTAGTGGCCTGTGCACACAGGTGGCGTGATACTGCGTGTGCACCTGCCCGGCACAGGTGTTGAGGATGCTGGGACGTGTGTGGTGGGGCGGGGCGGCGGGATGAAGCCCACCTTCCTCAGTTGAGGAGCCAGTACCGCCGCGACTTGCAGCAGCCAGTCTGGCCTTTGGTCTGGAAAAGGGCCTGCCAGGGGCAGCTGTCAGCAGCTCCGGAGGCTCGGCCATGACCAGCACAGACGGCAGCAGGGGCGACGCGCGCAAAGGCAGCACCCCGCTGTGCTCTCCGCCCGCCTAACAGGCACCCAGAGGGGAGACGTTCAAAATGCAAGCACCCTGTGACCTGCAAGGCTCCTCTGTCGCCAACACAAACCTGTGCAAATGGCCCTTTTCCTTTCCTGCCCCCTTCACTAGCAGGGAAACCCTGACGATAAGCTGCTCGGATAGAACGGTCCCCTTTCGCCTAAGGAGAGCAGGCTACAGAGCTGCTGGGCTGGGAAAGGAGGATTTCACAGTCACGTACCAACAAGGAGGAAACATTCTCAGAAGGGAGCAGAGATGAAAGCAGCTCCCACGCTGTGCAGCAAGCAAGCCCCTGTTCCCCAAGACACCTGGGGGAGGTAGAGTTACAATCCCTAGGAAAATATTTTCATGGGAACACTTCTGCCCAAAAGACAGGAATCTATTTTATTCAAGAAAGATGTAGTAACCCTGCCCCTGTGCAAAGAGCCATGCTGATCAAGCAGGGAATTCGGAAAGGAACCAAGTTATTTCAGCTGCACAACCACTAACACAGAGATTGGGGGGGTCACTCAGCAGGGAGCATCTGTGAGGAGGGCTGCCCACTGGAGTGTCAGGTGATAAGAGGAGCAGAGGAAGAGGCCTTCCTGATGTAGAGCAGCCAGGAAGCAGAGCATGCAGGAGAGGTGAGGCCTTGAGCGACAGCAGAAAACCCACCCCACGTTATCCTTGGGTAAGTCTGCACCAGGAAAGCAGGGGCAAGAAGACAGGACATGCCTGTGGAGCAGGTTATGGAGGCTCAAAGGCCAAGAAGTGTAGGTGGGTGTAAGGGAACAGCTGGGGTTTAGAACAGAGGGGCTGAGCTTTCTAGGTCAGCGGTGGCAGCCCCTTTACCGGGGGGAGGGAAGGAAAAAGATGGCCGAGGGGCCACAGCAGTGCAGCCAGGGTGCAATGCGCAGCCAGGGAGGCCAGAAGGGCTGGAGCAGAGAAGGCTCAGTGACAACTGAGCTCAAGCCCTGGGAGTGAGTTGGGGAGCCTGGAATCATAGGAAGAAGGCAGCCCATAGAAAAGAGATAGTTTAACAAACTGATCTCCTGGTTTTTAATTTTAAGCATCAAACGAATGCTATAGGGTAGATACTATCAGAACATTCAACAAACATCATCTTTAGAAGAAGAAAAAGGCGTTTCTTCAAAACAAGCAAAGTGCCACCCAAACGTGGCCAGGTGGGAACACTGAGATTACCGGGCAGAAATGGGGACTTCCTCTTCATCAGCTTCTTCTCCTTTCTGTCCGGCTTCTCTGGGCTCTCCTGTTCTTTCTCCGGCTCCGCATCACCAGAGCCAGGGGGCTCGCTGGGCACATGGGGAAGGTCTGGGTCCTGACCCTGCACGGCGGAGCTCTTGGGGTGGCTGGCGTCGCTGGGGTGTGCTGCAGCTGGAATTGAAGACAGCCCACTGTTTTCTAAGGCTTGCTGAGACAGAAAAAACTCGAAGGTTAGGAGATCGACGCCCAAACCTACTACCAAGTCAGCCTCACCTACAGAACTGCGATGCTACCACCTAGAAACATAGTTTCCAAGGAGCCATTTGTAAGTGACACGACCAAAGGTTTGAGGCTGACACGTCCCTTCTGATATCTGACATCTCACCTCCACCCAGACACGGCATGGCAAGCATTGACATTTCCAAATTAAAGGGGATTTTAGTGAATTAATTTCACTTTTAGATATGTGACCTCAGACAACTCTGGTTGTCTCTAAACAGATTTGGAAATCACTGTTTTAAGTTACACTGGGTTCACCCTTAAGACATCGGCTGTCGTCACACCGGCCCCTCTGTCCCACAAAGGCAGAGGAGAGGTTAGTTTTACAGAAAGTACACGATTAGAGAGGAGGAGGAGCTGCAAGGCCAGCTGTTTGGAAATGAAGACGGACGTGAAACGGCTGGTCAGAGCCAGGGAAGTGCTCCACCCGCCACCTCCTCCTCGGCTGCCTTGTCCAGGGGCACTGGACATGCACACAGACACAGCAGTGCTGACTCCAAACAGTTTCAGCACAACCTCAAGAAATAGATGTTTCTTACGTCAATAGGGACAGACACAAGAAAGTTCTGAAAAGTCCATTCTTTTCAAGTAAATTCACTTACAGAGAAATAATCAGAGCTTTAAACTTTTAAAAAATGTATAGATTAATAAATCATTTAGAATTCCGCACTGTCCACAAATAATTAAATGAGCCTATTTTATGTCACTATAACTTATTCAATTAAGTGACGTTTTCAGTGAAGATTCCTTTACTCCGACAAGTCCCCCATATTTTTCTCTCAGTAACACCTGGTCTCTGACAGACAGCTGCAAGAGGAAAGAGCGCTCACCTGCAGGATGTCCTGGCTGATGCCCACGGTGATGCTGAGCGGCTGGCCGGGTGGGGGCGCCGGGCTGGACTCCACAGGCTCCGACAGCTCCAGCAGCTGCTGGATGACGTCGGTCACTGCCTGCGAGCTCTGCTGACTGGAAGCTGACGGGACCTGGGCTTCCGTCTGCTGAAGAGGTAAAGTCTGAAACAGCGTGGCCTGAAACACAGCAACATTTTCATTAAAAAATATAAACAATTACATGAATGTGTACTTCAATTTTTTTAAAAAAAGAAATAGGCATATCCCAAACAAATTTTAAATATAATGCCTCACTAATTTTTATGTTTGGCACAACACTGGGCTCTTCAAGAACATATTCAGTGAATTTTCTACTACAATTGTTTAAAGTCTTTTAAGTGTTAGTAGATACTATAATTCAAGACAGGAACTGAGCAACCTCAGACTCCTGTTACCCATTAGAATAAAAGGATAGAAAGAGTTACAAAATAAAGGAAATAAGAAAGAAACTGCGGTGGGCAAACAATTCAAAACCCCCCTGGAGAATGGAGGCCCTGGAGGAGTCAATGCTCTGTGAAGCTATAGCTGAAAACATCTGAGGAGAGGGCTGATGCACTTCTCAGAAGCTCAGGCACCTGAAACACCTTGTCACAGTCACAAGTGGAGCAGAGGCACAAGAATGGACTCTGTTCGCCCTGTAACTGTGGACGCAGGACATTGTACGTCTGTCAAAACCTGCAGCACACACAGCACTGAGCATTCGGTCACCAGCTGTAGCAAAGGCACCATACCCAAGAGAGGTGTCAGTAATGAGGAGAGTATGGACTTCTCTGTACCTCCTGCTCACTTTTTCTGTAAACCTAAAACTGCTCTAAAGATTTTTTTATAGTCCATTAATAAAGAAAAGACAGACAGACGTGGGAGGAAAACTTTGGGCTGACAATTAACCAGTCTTCCTCCACAGAGCAGAGGGCAGCGAGGCATTTACCTTCAGGCAAAAAAAAAGAAGGGTGGCCTCTAAAAGAAATCAAAGTAAATAAACTATCTGGGAGAACTTGGCACCTTTTGTGGCACTAAGGTCCCCAGACTAAACACAAAGTCCTTTGGTTCTGCCTCCAGGGACCCCAAGTTGGAGAGCTGGCTCCCTGGCCCACCACAGGTAAAGAGACCCTGGAGATGAACCAGCTCCATCCTGCGTGGAGAGTTCACGCATGGGTTTGCTGTTGCCTCATTCCCTACAAACAGACACAAGGATCATAAGAATTATATCTGAAAGAGGGGCCCTGACAGATGCAGGCAGGGAACTCAGAGAGAAGAGAACTTTTACAAGGAAAATGCTAATTAGGTTTCCAAGGAAAGTGCAACAAACCAAAAAAGCATGCCTTGAAAAAGAAACAATACGATCACAAAAGAGAGCTCCAGAAATTAAAAACTGTACTAGCTAAAAATATCAGTGAGAATCATAAGATGAAGCTGAAGAAAATCCGTGAAAACAGAGGAAAAAGGCCAAGAGTTAGAAAAGTAAGAGGCAAAACAAGAGCCACAGAGAACCAACCCTGGAGGCTGGGTGGCTCCAGCCCCCCCAAGGCCTCAGGCTGTCCACCAGGGAAGGGAGGGCAAGCCCAGGTTCCTGCAACCCTGCCCTGAGCTTCAGGTACTGATCAAGAAGGTAAAGTTTAAAATTATCTGGATTATCATTCCACATTAGTCACTACATCTGCATACTTGATTTGCATTTTGCCAAAGGAAATGGGGAAAACTCTTAACATTTGGTTGATTTACACACTGAAAATTTCATTAAAAATACCCCGTCCAAAACAATTTCACGACCTAATCATTAGCCCTAAATGTTCTCCAGTTTCAGGACTTACTTACAGCACCCTCTGAGATGGAGAGTGAGCTGAGGGATCATCCCGAGCCGCAGATATTGTGAGAAAAGAAGGGGAAAAACAAACAGTAACTGTGAACCTGATGCTCAGGGACAGTCGGGAGGCCTATATTCTGTGGGACAGGAGGCAGCTTTGGACATGGCACAGATAGCCAGCCAAGCGCACCGTGAGCCCACCTACACCCTCACACCTCTGTCCAAGGTCTGCTGCCAGGACACCCTGCACTGTGCTTAGATTTGTCATTTACTATCAATTGAGAGGAGGAAGTAACCGACTGAGGAGGCCGAGCTATAGAATCCTACCAAAAAGGGAATAAAATTGTGTGTTTGAAGTCATACAATTTTAAATGCATGTACTGAAAATTACAATTTAGTTTCCCAATCAAAATCCAAAGTATGAGGAAAAATTGTCACTGTCACCTTAGACAGGGAGAAATACATCTTAAAAGGATACTTGGTTTTTAAATTATAATGATAAAGAATATTCACTGATATCACCAATAACGTTGCAGGAATTATAATTTCATAAACTGGTGATTCTATTTGTCCTAGTTTTATTAGTTCAGGTGACAGTCCATAAATCAGGATCATCTAAACACCATTCTAAAATTTAAAAGATTTATTTTTTTGTCAAAAATTTTTATAAAGTAGCACCTTACAACCACGTAGGAAAACTTTCACAGCACCTTTATGGTACTAAATAATATTCTAAATAATATTCCATTTTAAAGGTCATGAGTGAGACGCCCGACTTTGGTGAAACAATATCATCCTATCAGCCAGCTCACTGAACTTACCGTTAAAACGTGAGCAGTCTCCGTGGAGCTCGTGGAGTTCTGTGGCCCACCCATATGCATCTTGCTGATGTGAGTGTTTAAGCTACCTAAACTTTTAAATATACAGCTACATTCTGTACAATTATAGGTAGGGCCATTCTTGACCTTAAAAAGTAAAGAAGAAAAAATGATTTTACACTTAATTATTAGATAAAAACATTTGAATTAGGACACATCAAAATTGACCATTCCATTAAAAATGAAGAATAATCGAACCCTTTAACATTACTTTTTCGTTTGTATTAGATAGCTCTAGAATCTGTGATCCAGTTCTCCAATCAATATTGCAGTATGAGATTAACTGAAACATCACAGTCTGTTCTACATTAGAACTGGTTTGGGAGTGAAGAAACATAGTTTTCAGTTATTACAATTTAGTAAGAAAATGTCTACTGTATGTTCTCAATTTCCTAAAGGGTTAGCACAGGCCCCTAATGAAGGCTAGATGGACGCAGACAGAACTCTGAGCACGCACAAGATAAAGTGCACAAGTTAGGAAGGGTGGCCACGAGATGGGTGACCCTGTCGCCGCCAGTCCCAGCACTGCCCATTGGCTGCTGTGACACAGCCCGCAGGGGACAAGAGGGCAGGAAGCGAAGGGGCAGGTCCGCACGGAGAAAGCACCTCTTCTCTCACCCTCACCAAGCCCACCTTAGTTATGACATCATGGCGGCGGCCCTGAACTCACCTGGACTAGCCTTCCAGGCCCCACCTAACACCTTGTGAAGAGATTCGCCAGGGGACTGAACACCACTCAGCAACTACTCTTCAGGGGGTCTCTGGAGCACCCGGCCCCAGAGTGTCTCAGGCTGTGTGAGAGCCACCTCCGCAGCCCGTGAACGGCCGCGTGCCTGGGAGCCCCCAGGCCAGGCCGGGCGTACCTCGGAGTGCACTCTCTGCACGTGAGACTGCAGGTTCCCCTTCTGAGAAAAGGCAGCAGGACAGAAGGCACAGGCGTGGGGCTTCTCGCCTGTGTGCTTGATCATGTGGGTCTGCAGCGCCCCCTTCTGGTTGAAGGCTTTTCCGCATTCACTGCACTTAAAGGGCCTTTCCCCTAGAGAGGGGGAGAGGGGACAAACACTTCCCACTGTGAGCGCCCCTGACGGGAAACATAAATACTTCCCTTCCCCAGGCTCAGGGCCCCAAACCATCCCTCCAGCCAGAATGTCCTCCCACAACTGTAGACTCATATATCCAACTGCCTACGCCAAAATCTCAAAATCCACACCCAGATTAGACAGCAAACTATGGAGGAGCCAAGGTTAACTTCCAGGCCTGGCTGCTCTGAGGCTCACTCCTCTCCTGTGCGCCCAGTGAGCCGTCCAGGGGCAAGTGTGCTCCGCACCTGTGTGTATGCGGATGTGCCGCGTGAGCTGGCTGGGCTTCTGAAACGTCTTCCCACAGTGCGGGCACGAGTATGTGAATCCACTGCGGTCGACGTTCCGGTTGTATGACCTCGTACTGGACATCCTACACGATACAGTGGGAGCTCATGAAGTCGTCTCTCTCGTGTTACAAGCCTGACAGTAACATCCTTCCAGGAAGGTTAGCTAGCTGGTCATGAGAACGTTTCATTGAAAAACCAAGCCCATATAAGTGCGTGTCCCCTACCCACACACACACGCATCAGTTTTGTGTATCCAATGTCATAAACATTCCTTTTTTCCACATGTAATGACAGAGAAACAGCTTGTGTTGGGGCGGAACTCCTCTCATCAACAAGGTTTGCCTCTGATGGTCAGACCCAAGGTCTGCACAGCGTAGCTCTAACCTGTACCTCAGCCTGCGTCTCTGCTGCCTCCTCTCGTCCCTTCATTTCACACCACCCGAGGCTGGTGACCCCCCCAAGCCCCGCTTCCACCCACTCTGACGCCTCCACTGAGCACCAACCCCCGACCTCTAACTGCTCGACCTCCTTGGGAATGGCTTAGGGTGCCTCGAAGCCAGCGTGTCGTGGGCCCAACTCTTCCTTTATTCCTAGCCTGCTCCTCTCTGTGAAGGAAAGGGCAATCCCTGCCGTGAGGAGTCAGGCCCATGCTTCCCTCTCTCTGACCCCAACTTCCACTGCATCTCCAAAAGCTGCTGGTTTCACCCCAGAATACCTCAAAGGTGCCCCCCACACCCCCCTCCAGCGTCATCTTCCTGCTGCATTGATTCAGTGGTTTGCCGCTTCAACCTCACCATAGGCGCCACGCCACGCCTGAAGTCGGGCAGGAGTTGTGTGTGTGAAACACTCTGACAGCTTCCACCACACCAGGATAAAATCCTTGCTTCCAGGGTGGCCTCAAAGGCCCCACAGCCCCGGGCCCTGTCTCCTTCAAACTCAGCTGTAGCACCGGAGTGCCCCGATGGGCTCTTATCACCCAGATTAACACAATTTTACTTCCCTCTCTCAATACAACCACTATCTGAAATGGCTGCACTGATGATCCTCTTACTTGGTCCCTGCCAGGCACAGGTAAGTTGTCAACAGTAAGGCAGTGTGAGTAAACCAAGGCATTACGAAGGAGCTAATCGGACCCTCACAGATCCACTGTACACACCATTACCTGCCCATAAAACATCACCAGGACCTTGTTCTACAGTTTTAACACTAAAACACTAGCTAAACTTTCCACCCACACAGCCTGGCACCTATTTTAAACTTGAGCTCATTTTTCCTACTGTAGACGTGACCTACACCTTATAAAAGACATCCTGACACCACACTAGATTCGCCAATATTTTTAACCAAGCATAGCCAAGCTTGCCAATTCTTCACAGATTGTCTAGATTTTTCCCAAGCCCAGGTGGAGGTGCACACCTAATTTTGTAATGATTCTTCATGTGCTCCTTCAACTGCGCTGCCGTCTCGAACTCCTTCCTGCAGGCCTTGCAGGTGTGGGCCCTGCCGCCGGCCAGCTCCTGGCGGTGCTCCTCCATGTGCAGGGCCAGCTGACTCTGCAGCGTGAACTCGTCCCCACACTCGGAGCAGATGAGGTTCTGTGGAAGGAACGCCACCTGTGAGCAGGACCAGGACTGCTCAAAAGAGCCGGTCCTGTAGACGGTCAATATGCAAATTATACTTTCCTCTGGAACAAACGCTATTCTCACCTCTCAAAAAATATATCATTATGTCTAAATATGAAGGTACAAAAGCCATTTCTTTATTGGTAGGAAAAGACAAAAACCGAGGGAAAAGGGTGAGAAAACAATACAATGCTTGAGCAAAGTGAACTGCTTCCAGCTGGCGGCTGGGTGGTGGCGCTCTGCCACCTGCGCTATGAGTGCTGTGGAGAAACAGAAGGGCTTCGCCACGAAAGGGTAAGGACAGAAGCTAAGTTGCCAACTGATAAACCACCTCAAAAGAAAATGGCAGCTGATGGAGGTGAGATGGAAACATCTACCACTCTTTCACTGGTTTACAGGCAGTGGATGACAGAACAGTCTGGCTCTGTCCAGGTGCGGCTTGCCGAGCACCTGGCAGGGGTGGTCTGAACAGGCTGTGGAGAAAGTGTAAAATACACAAAGGATTTCAAAGACCTACTGCAAAAAAGAAAGAACGTAAAAGAGCTCAAACACTTTTAATATTTGAATTATAATATTTTAGATGTATTTTCATAAACATATTAAAATAAAACTTATTTCATCTGCTTTTTATACTTTTTTAATGTGGCTACTATAAATTTTAGGTAACTCATATTTCAATTGGATAACAGGGTCCAGCTGTTATAGAGCTGGGTCTTGATTCGGCTCACAACTGCCAATGAGTTGCTGGGTGCACCTGGGCCCTGCCCTCTCCCAACACCCGAGCTGCACTGGAGTGAGTGACGGTGTGAGAGGTGGAAGCATGGGCAAAGGAAGTCCTCAGCACAACGTTAACAGTAGGAACTGCTGACTTAGCACAAGGTTCAGTGAGCTCAATCGTGCGGATCTGTAATACAACTGTTTACTTAGACAATTCTCAAAATGACCTGTCTAAACATGAAGAAGATATGCATATAGCCTAGCAATGGCATAAACTGTCAAAAACTTCAGATTAGTATTATTATATAATAACTTAAGGATGTAACAAATTACTAGGTTGTCAGTATCTTGTTGAAAATAAAGAAAATTCTTTCCAGGAAACATTCAAAAAGAAAAAAATACCTAACAATTTGCTGCATCACTTCAAAAAAAAAAAAGGCTTCTGAGATCCTGAACTTTTACAGCAAACTATTCATTTTCTACTACCAACTGGAAGGCTCCCATCTCAGCTGTAAAATAAAACTGAACTCTTATCCCCCCTCGCCACCCTTACTCTGTTAGTGCTCTGGCTCAGGTCCATCCGCATTTTACTCACTTTCTCCCCTAACCTTCAGGTTAGTGTATTTAGGGAGATATTGGCATGACTATTACTCAGAGATTTATCAGGATTTTCTGAGTGAAAACTGTGCTTTGTGAACAATTTGCTCATGAGGTGAACCCAAGGTCAAGAATACCCTGGGCCACCACCAAAACAGGCCACGTAACGGGAAGTTCCATCACCATCCAGCAGGCCACAGAGCTGGGGTGTGCCCCGAGGACATCCTGGGCAAGGGGCAGTCGTGCCTCGGGGCAGCTAACAGACCTCTGGAGCTAATGCCAAGTCCTCGGGGCGGGAAGCAGCAGCTCCTTGTACCCAAGAAGCAAACTGCTCTTGGGTAACTTCAATGAGCGCTAAGTGGCGAGCAGACGCCAAGGAGTCAATGTGCGGAGCTCTGATCAGACCCCATCAACATACAACAAAAAGACCCCCAGTAATGGTAATAGAAATCTTAGAGCATTTGAGTGAGTTAGGTAGCGTGCTGTACCAGCGTGGACAGAGCACTGCTGGGCGACGTTGTGAAGGTTCAGCCTTATAACCACGTTCCATTCCCCGGACAATCTAAAACTTTAAAATAAAAGCAGCCAAAATAAAAACACCAATCATTTTTAAGTAGGCAAAGCACGTAGACATTTGCTTTTCCCTCTAAGGAGAAACCCGCAGAACAACACAGGAAACAAGGTAG